ACCCTAACCCTAACCCTAACCCTAAGCGAGTCAGCTTGAGGGGACGTGTAGGGGAAGCACCTGAGCAAGTCGAGGGAAAGAGAGCTGCTCAAGTCCAGCCTGTCCTCCTACTGACTCTTCCTACTCTTCAACCTCCTCCACCGCACCTTTTGAGACCGGTCTTGACTTCTCAGTGCAGTCCTGCCCCTACTGAGTGAGCTGTACCCACCCTGCCCTCCTCCTCTGCCTGAAAAGTGAGACCAAGTCCGCCAAAACCAGCTCAACTCACCCTCAAACACCGTGCCCCGCTGGGTACACTCCCTGCGCTACTAGGAAGGGAAAGAACCAAGTCAGCAGCTTGCAAATTGAGAGAGCTGGTCCAGTCCCTCCTCCCCTCCTTCTCAGCCAAGTCTGAGGGAGAGAACGTGAACTAACAGCTTTTGCAGAGAGCGACAGCACTGCTCTTGTGGTGCTCTTGACGACTGTGTTGAGCCTGTGTGAAAAGCAAGTCAGCTTGACTTTGAGAGGAGAAGGAGGACAGAGAGTGGTCAGTCTCCAGCTCTTCCTCCCACTCTCCCTGCTCCAACTCTCCACCTTGTCCCTCCTCTGAACCTTGTGAGAGCGTCTCAAGCTGCAGGAAGCGGAACAGACTCAGTTGGAGAGCGAAAGGAAGGCTGAGGAGGTCAGCCTCGCCTTCAGACAGCAAGTTGGGGCCAAGTTTTCGCTTCTGAGCGCAGGGACACGCTCAGAGCAAGCGAGCGGTCAGAGGACGCCACTAGCGGAAGCGCGTCCGGCTGAAGCGGCGGTAAAGGGGAGAAAACGCAAGCAAAGGTGAGAGCCGGACAGAAAGGCCCGCAGAACAAGCTTCGGACGACAGAGTACGCGGTGCAGCATTGACTGTAGCAGCGCACAAGGACACGGAGCCTGGAGAGTTGCCTCGCAAAGCTCAAACACGGCCGAGACGAGAGAAAGGCTGAGCAAGGAGGTTTGGCGAAAGGTCTTGCAAGGCGCCGAAACTGATACAGGGCGGGGTGTTGTAGGTGCGTCGTGCGGTGAGGGTGTTGGCGAGACAGGTGGAACCGGAAGGACGGCGGCGGAGAGCAGCAGGTCAGCGACAAGTCCCGAGCGGAACAAAGTTCAGCGAGACTTAGACGCACAGGCAAGCCGGCTGTGCACGCTCGAGAGGCGCCTGTAAACCTGTACGTGCAATTAGAGCGTGTTAGCGGTCGTCCAGAACCGGTAACGAGAGCGAGAAGTGAAAGAGAACGGACGAGAGCGGACACACCGGAGCGTAACGTCGCTGAACGGCAAGTCCTGCTGCGGGAGCAAGCGGGCGACATCAGCACCGTCCTCTACACACGCTGCCAGAGCGCTGGCCCTCCTGCGACTCCCGCTTCCGCTAGTCGAGTCCAGGCGCGAGGAGGAGCTGTCGGATGTTCGTGCCCGCTTCCGACAGCCTTGTTACGCCGTCCAGCTAGCGCGCAGTCCTCCAGCGAGCTCGAATACCGCCCTCGCATTCGCCCAGTCCCGCCCTACGTCGTGTACGAGCCGAGTGAACGAGGGAGACGCACCTGGATTTCGAGGTCGAGCGACGGCGGTGGGCGGGAGCAGGTCGGGCGAGCGAGGCGTAAAGAGCGTCGATACATCCGATAGCAAGGACCTCGTAAGCTGAGCAAGCCCCTCTGAGCGGAGTGAGCGTTGTCGAGGGGGATGAGAAGCAACTCGCGGAAGTTGGCGCTCAAGCGACGCGGCGAACCCTTCGAGGCTGGTGCTGCTGGTAACGGGCTACATGGCATCAATCTGCGAGCGAGAAGCGGGATCTAGAGTGGTACACGAAACAAGGTGCGAGCGAGACGAGACCAGAACGAGGGGGGAACAAAAGTCTAGACGGACAAACAAGCTGCGGAGGAAGCTCGTGGCGCACAGAGTCACCGCCTCAACAACGCCTTCCTCACCTCGTCCTCACCCCGCGCCCCCTCCTCCTCGTCCTCCTCCTCCTCCTCCTCGTCATACCGCCGCACCCTCGCACTCCCATCCGTCGAGCTCCTCACCGTCCCATCCAGCAACTCCCTCGGCGTGCCCAACCTCCCACCGCTCTCCAAATCCAGCGAGACGCGCGAGGTAGGCGGGAGCGAGGAAGACGTGGTGGAGGGGTCTTGGGCTGCGTCGGCTAGGTCGGCGGCGAAGAGGCGGCGGAGGAAAACGGGGATGAGGACGGCGACTATGACTGCGAGCGTGAGCGGAGCGAGGCGGGGCGAGACGATGGCGAGGCAGAGCGAGAGTGAGGTGAAGGCCGGAGAAGGGAGCGGAAAAGCGGAAGTCAGCGTCCATCTCCGCATCCGCATCCGCGTGAGATAGAGAAAGGGAACGCACTCCCACCGAGCCCACACGCATTCTGCCACGTGACGAGATGCAGATCGTCCGATCCGGCCATCTGGTCGAGCGTGGTGCCGATTTGGGTGTGGATGTACGAGACGCCTGCGACGCCTGCGCGACGCAAAGGGGCGAGCGTCAGCGAGCTTGTCGTCGTCGGTGTTCGCGCCTTGCCTCTCGTCGCGCGAGAGCTGGAGAGCGAGGAGAGACAGAGAGAATGCGCAGGGAAAGAAGGTGAGCGGAAGTGGAAGTGTGCGCACCGAGGAACGTCGACAGCCAGAACTTCCAGACGCTGACACCGACATGCGGTGCTGCGAGGTTGAGCATCCAGTGCGGCGGGAGTGGGGCGATCCTGCGTGCGCCGAAGCGTGAAGGCTTAGTTCTCGAGTCTCCTCCCATGCGCCAGAAGATCCCTCGAGTGAAGGACGCGCGAAAAAACGCACCTGAGCACGATCAAATACGACACCAAATTCTTCTCGTGACCCCTGACGCGCTCCTGCCACGCCTCGACACGGGCTTGCCAGACGGCCGAGTTGGCGAGTACTGAGGGACCGAGGAGGGCGGAGAGGAGGTAGCAGAGTAGTGCGCCTGTTGCTACGCACTGCGTGCGAGTGAGCGAGGGTTAGCGCGCGTTCGAGCGTCGAGGAGGCGAGGGAGAGGCGGAGAAAGGGGAAGGGAAAGCGCGGACTCACGAAACAAACGAGCGGCAAGGCGACCAAGACGCCGAACAGCGCTCCGCCGAGCATCGAGAGGTACATTGAGCCTGGGATGGAGAAGGCTTGGAGGCTGCGCGAGTGGGGCGAGCGGAGTGGAGCGAGCGGGAGATTAGTCTCGCGGGAGAAGTGAGAAACGGGAGCGGAACCGCGCGACGCACAAGAGGTAGACGATGACGAAGCAGCCCATTACGCGGTAGTAATTCCGGTCGCGGTAGACCTGGAGAGCAGCGGGCGGCAACCGTCAGCCGATTCAAAGCTCGCAAGAAACGGAGCGAGGCATCTCCGCGCGCGCCCGCCCGCCCGCACGCACCTGCAAGACCTCGTTCAACTCTTTCAAGTCGTCAAAGCTCTTGGGGAGCTTGACCTTTTCCCTGTCGCCGTCGTCGATCGGCGGCAGGGTGACCTTCAAGACGAGGTACATGCCGAGCGCCGAGACGACGAGGATGGCGGCAGCCTGGAGGGAGGCGTAGAGGAGTGGTCGACGCTCGGCAAAGGTCGTGCCCCCGAGGTGCAGGGAGGGGTCGAGCGAGCGGAGGGACGAGACGGACGAGACGGAGGTTGAGCGGGTGCGCGCGTTCAGTCCCGGACGCGGCGTGGGCTTGTCTTCGTCGCTCGTGTCGTCTGCGGTGCGTTGGAGAGCCGGATTCGGGCTGGGCGGCAACTCGACTCCTCCGAAAGTCGTCGCTCGCGGGCGTCCTCCCGACGCTGCTCCACCCGTTATCGCGCCCTCGCCAGTCGTGGGCGCGAGGTCGATGACAAACTGCGGTCCGACTCGTCTCCCTTGCAACCCGTTCGCCCGATCCGCGCGCGCACGCTCGTCGGAACCTCGAACCGCACGTTGACCGCCCTCGCGCTCGTCGTCGCTGTCCTCCCCTCCTCCTGGCGCCCGCAGAGTCCTGAGCGAGTGTTCGCTCCTGTAGCTCTTTACTACGGGTTCGTCGTGTGTGTCGAAAGGGTTGTGGGAGGGGTGTGCTGCGAAGGGCGAGTGAGTGGGCGCGGGGTGAAGGGGTTGGTGGTCGTGCGAGACGGGCGAGCGGGTCGAGGAGAGCGTCGATGAGCGTGAGCGTCCTGTCATCGTAACCGGGACTCGCAAGCTGTTGTAAGCTGGGTTGTAACAGTTAAGGAGAGCGAGTTGGAAATGGGTCGAGGCGGAGGAGGGACGCCACTTGCAACCGAGATTACAAACCGAGTTGTATTCAACTTTGTATTCCTTAACTTTGTATTCACTTCCATTGTAATCCAATACAACGAGTCCTATTCTCTCCCTCTCACTCGCTCGACTCGCGTGCTGCCGTGCGCTGCTGGCCAGACTGAACGCCACCAGACTCAGTGAAACGATGACGCACTGCTTATAGACCCGCTCACTCAACCCGCGCTCTCGCTTCCAACGGACAGCGTCGAACGCTCGCTCAACACGCGGTCGTCCTCGCTCCCACACCGCTTCGCACGGCTCATTGACCACACGTGCACGCGCACACACTCGCACTGGTGACGCCGTGCACTTTCCACCCGCCCAGGAGGCGAGAGGAGAGCGGAGGAGCGTGCGCCGTGGGAACATCGGCCAACTCGACTTGCGCAGTCTCCGACTCGCTCGCTTCTCTCTCTTCTTCTTGCCACTTGTTCGCGCGAGACTGCTTTGTTTACTCGCTCGTCGGACCACCCGCGCACTCGCTTCGACACACTCGCTTGACTCGAACTCGAGGGGACCCTTTGTTCGCCCGAACCACCCACCTCCTTTCTCTCCCGAAGATTCTTCTCGCCACCCGACCCTCGGCCCTTCTTCTCGCCCGACCCACATCCACGACTCAAGCTCGACCATGCGCTCTACGCTCGCCCTCGCTCTCGCAGCGACCGCCGCCTCACTCACCTCGCCCGTCCTCGCCTCCTCGCATGGACACAGCTCGCACGCGCAGGGACTCGCCAAGCGCCATGTGATTGGTGATGGTGGGATGGTCAGGAGGATGGTGAGGCGTGTCAGGAGGGCCGAAGGTGCGTTCTGTGCGAATCTTCTTTCGAGAAGGGTCACGAGAGGAGGGGGCGGCGGAGTTCCCGTCCGGGTCGACTTCCTTTCCACGACGACGCGTGCTGACATTTCTTCGCTCGTCTCTGGCCATCGTGCTCTCGCTCTCGCGCACGTCTCCTTCGTCTCGAGCAGGCGCGGCCGTCCTCTCCCTCCCCTCCAACTCTTCCACCACGAACACCACCACCTCGTCGTCGTCGAACACCTTGGACAAGAAGAAGCAATACACGTCGACCGCGATCTGGTGGGCTGAAGCCGGATGGATCGGGTCGTGCGGAGAAGTCATCTCGTGCGCTTCCCTCCCACTCCTTCCTCCTTCTTCCTCGCTGACGAGTTCTCGGACGGGACATGAAGCGACACCGACTATGTCCTCGCCCTCCCCCTCTCACTCTACCCCACCCCCTCCTCCCCCTCTCCGCTCTGCAACCAATCCCTCACCCTGTCCGCCCCCTCGACCGGCAAATCCCTCACCGCGCGCGTCGTAGGAGCGAGCGACAGGGATTCCTATACGGCGATGAGTAAGGCGGCGTTCGAGGCGCTCGGAGGGGACTTGGAGGGTGGTGAGGTGGGAGTGGTGATGGAGTTTGTCGATAGCGGCGTGGCGATCCCTTCGTCGTCCGCGGTCCAGTCGGGCGCGGGAAAGGTCGTAGCTGCGGCTTCGAGTTCCGCCAACTCGCCTGCCGCCGTCGCGCAAACTACGACGACTCAGGCCGCGAAGACCTCGTCCCCGGCTCAGACGACTACCCAGGCTCCGACGACGCAGGCGAAGCAGACGACCTCCGCGACGACGACGACGAGCTCGTGGGACTCGGCTTCCGCTGCGTCGGCTTCGGCGGCGTCGAAGAGTAGCGCTGATGCGGCTTGGGCATGTGCGTCGTGCCTTCCTTCCTCCTTTCTCGTCTTTTTCCTCGCGTTGGAAGGAACTGACAAGATGAGAGTTCGGGCATTCGATCACAGCGAGCTCGTCCGCTGCCGCTGCTGCCGCTGCCGCCTCCAAGAGTAGCGCCGACGCCGCTTGGGCTTGTACGTCCTCCTCCTCCTCCTTCCTGCTTGCCAGAGCACGAGTTGACGGATCGGATCTGCTGGGTACGTCACAGCGAGTTCGTCGGCCGCTGCTTACAAGATGTGGGCTTCGTCGTCTTCTTCCGCTGCCGCTGCTGCCGCTGGTGCGTCCCGCCTCGCGGCAAATCTCTCTCTCCTCGTCCTTCAGCGGAGATGGAGAGATGCTCATGCAGCGCGTCGAACCGCAACAGCCTCCAAGTCCTCCGCCGACGCAGCCTGGGCCTCCTCCTCCTCCGCCGCCGCCGCCGCAGCAGCCGCCTCAAAGTCTTCCGCCGACGCAGCCTGGGCTTCTTCGTCGTCCGCTGCCGCTGCTGCGAAGGCTACTCAGACCTCTTCGAGCGGAGGAGACGGTGGTTCGAGCGGTGGTGGGAAGGTCTACACTGGAGGGATCGCGACGTTCTTCTACCGTGCGTGTATTCCCTTTCCACTCGTATCGACCACAGCGAGGTGCTCATAAGTGGTCAACATCGCTCGCAGAGAACGGCGTCGCAGGTAACTGCGGCCAAGTCAACTCGGACGACAGCTACATCGTCGCGCTCCCTACCTCGTTCGTCCTCTCTTTCCTCGCCCGCCTCTCGCTCGCTGACGGGGGACTTCTACCGGTAGGACGTACGCCGGCGGCTCTCACTGCGGCCAGAGCGTCAAGATCACCCGCTCCGACACGGGCCAGTCAATCACCGCAAAGGTCGCCGACTCGTGCCCTACCTGGTTCGTCTCCACCTCCTTCCCTTCCTTTCCATCTGCTTATCAGCTAATCGTGTGCGACAGCAACAACGCGAGTTGCCTTGATTTGAGTGTGGGAGCGTACAAGGCTTTGGGAGGGACGGACTCGATGGGTGTTTTGTGAGTCCTGCTTCGTTGCGCTCCTCAGCGTTGATGCTGACTGTGTCCGCGGCTTCCAATTTCCTGCTCGGGTGCTCGCAGCGACATCACCTGGGTGCGTTCCTCTCGTCGACCAAGACCGCTTTCGCTCACAACGGAGACTGACCTTGTCCTCCGCTCTCGTCGCGCAGCAATTCGTCTAAGCTCTCACACCATTCCCATCGCGTCGCCGGCCGATGCCCTACCCCGTCCTCTCGCCTTTGCAAAAACAGACACTCTCGTTTCCTCCTCAGCATACCCCATTCTCGTTCACGCACACGACACTCACGACCTCCATTCCTCTTTCACTCTTCTCGCTGCACATTTCGCATTTCTATTCTTCGCACGCAACACGCACCACGCACATTTGTCGAGCGCGCTCGCCGCTGCTCCTTGCCTATCTTCTTACCCGGACGTTGATCGTCCTCCCCTCTTCTCGTTTCACTTTCTTACGTCGTCCACCTTCTCCTCTGTGCGCTCTTCGGACGCTGGAGGGGGCTGCAACGCACTTTCACGCTTTCTTAGGTCGTTGGCGCGCAGAAGGGAGAGAGAATCGCTTCGGTTTGGCTCTCGCCCTTGCCCGTTGGACTCGCCGAGCTAGAGAGCGCACTGCTAGCGTGTTCTCAGCTTGTTTGTAGGACCAGGAAGGCCCACGACCGACTTTGCCCGCCGCTCGTCCTCGTCGCCTCGCTCGACCCGCTTCTCTCGCCTCGTCCATTCGCTCATCCTCGCAGGACAGGCTCGCGGCTGTTTTGCCTGCTTCGTACGACTGCTAGACCGTTACACACGTCGCCTCAACCCGCCACGTTCCCTCAGTCCCCTCGCTCGTCATCGCTTCGACCCCACCTCGACCTGTTCAGAGGGTGTCCCCCATCGACGACGACACGCGAGCTTAGAGTGGATGGCCACCCCTGAGACGACCGCCCTGTCCATCCGCATCCACCTCCCACCCTCCCCAATCGACCCAGGCGGCTCGCATCTCACTCTCCCCTCCTCGCCCTCGTCGACAGTCGCAGACCTCAAGGCTGGCTTGGTAGAGCGGTGTGGACTTGGAGCGGAGGAGGGAGAGGCGCTGGGGCTGGCAAAGGGGGCGAGGAGGTTGAGGGACGCGGAGCGGTTGGGAGAGGTGTTTGAGGAGGAGAGGAAGGTGCGTCCAGTTCGCTTGCTCGGAACTGTACGGCTAGAGGGTTCGATAGAGGGACGACGCAGATGCTACTCTGCCGAGTCGAGGTGCACCGGCAAAGTCAATCGCTGACACCGCTTGCTTTCGCAGGTTGATCCCTCCGCCCCTCTCACGCTTCACGTCGTCGCCCGTCCTTCGGTACTCGACAAGCTGCGCCAGCATGCGGATCCTGTGGAACCGGAGGAAAGAGCTTCGACTGAGCCGCCTGCGGTGGTTGCGAGCGCTGAAGTCGCAGCGGCAGAACCGGCGGTCGTTGCAGATTCTTCGGACCAGGCGGCCGCTTTGGGAGACGGACCAGCCGCACAACCGCCTGAGCCTGTCGAACAACCCGCCGCAACGGTCCCTGTTCCCGAGGAACTGCACTACTCGCCAGCCTATATCGTCCCGCCTCCCTCCCTGCCCGAACCCGTCGCCTCGACTTCCTCCATCGCCGCCACCGCCGCCGCTGCAGCAACTCTTCCTACGTCCGCTGCCTCGCCTGCCGTCCCCGTCTCGCCCTACACGACCTACATCGCTCACCTCCAGCGGCTCCTCCCTCTCCAGCGCGCCTTGCTCCTCCTGAACCTCCAGAAAGCGCATGCGCACTACACTCGCGCCCTTACCGCTCCTTCAACGAGCGAAGGAGTCGAGGACGTTGAGCGGATGTTGAAAGAGGTTGGGGTTTGGAGGATTGTGGAGGAGAAGGTTGAGCAGAGGGAGGCGGAGTGGAGGAAGCTGTATGCCGGTGACGAGGCTGTGGACGGGGTCGAGCGGGTGGAGGAGGAGTTCCAGATCGTCCAGGTTGGGTGAGTCCGTCGAAAAGCCTTGCGTTCGGTCCGGTCGCTTTCTGCGATAGAGACTGATGCGCGAATTGCTTCGGTCTACACAGCGGCCTGCCCTACCTCCTTCACACGCCACCAGACCCGCATCGCCGCCCATCTCACCCGCCTCTCGCCGCTGTCCTCCAACACACCCGCACCGAGACGGTCCAGCACTGCCTGACGACGATGCTCCAGCTCCTCCTCACCATGTCTCCCGGCGTCCCCGCTCTCGCCTACGGTCGCGCAACCGCCCCTCGATCCGGCGCACCGCCTGTCGCTGCCGCCCCAGGCGCGAACCCAAACGCACCCGATGCCCTCGCCGCCGCTCGACTGGCCCAACTCGGCTTCCTCAACGCCCCTCCCGGCGCTGCCGGCCGCCCGATGCATCCTCTCGCTCAAGGCGCGCAGATTCGCCGCCGTGCGACACTGTCGGTCATCATCAACCTCGACGTGATCCTCTCCTTCCTGATTCCCCTCTTCCTCCTCTCGCTCAAACTCGCTTTCCTGCTGTGGATCTTTGGACGACACGCGAGTCCGACGAAGAGGATGATTCTGGGCGCGATGGCGGCGCTGTGGGTCGTCTGGGAGGGAATCGGGATCAGGAGGAGGAGGTTGCAGCGCGAGAGGGAGCGCGAGAGGCTGGAGAGGGAGAGGAGGCGCGCGTTGAGGGCAGCTGCGAGGACGCATCAGGCGCAAGCTCAGGCGCAACAGCCGCCGGGCGACGTGCAGGCAGGACAACCGCAGCCTGGTCCCGCACCTCCTCCTCAGCAGCCCGGCGCGCCCCAGCCTCCCGCCGCGCTCGTCCGCCGCGCCCGCCACCCCGCCAACGCCCATGACCGCGCTCGTCGACACCGCGAGCTGCCCTCGCGCCTCTCACCGAAATACTGGATCAACCTCATCGCCGCCGTCGGACTCGTTGCCGAAGCGCGCGAACTCGGTCTCTCGCCACGCTTCATCGCTGGCCGACCCATCGCGCCTGCTCCGCCTCCGCCTCGCACCGCAGCCGAAAAGCGCTACGAGGCGTTGAAGCGCGTCGTGCGGAATGTCTGTGTGGCGGTTGTGTTGTTCGTCGGGACGCTCAGTCCGGAGGTGGAGCGGAAGAGAAAGAGGGCACTCGAGAAGCGCGAGAGGTTGTTGGCGGAGCGGAGAGTCGCGGCGGCGGCGGCGGCGGCGGCGGCGAGGGCGTTCCTCGACCAGCCGCCTGTGCTGCCGTCGGTTGCAGGACCTCTCGACCAGGGAACTGATGGGCTGAGGCGCCGTGCGACGGGTGCGCAGGGCAGGAGCGCGGTCTCGGACGAGCAGCTCTTCCAGGATGGCGGCAGCGAGGCGTACCAGTCTCAGCATGGGGTTCCCCCCGCCTCGACCTCGACTCCAGCCGGCGCAACAGACGTGCACAACGCTTCAGCTTCGACGTCCGCCCATACTATCGGCTCGCAAGCCGCACCCACCGCATCGACCTCGACCGCCCCCGCTCCCGCCCTACCGCCCGACTCTGCACCTCCCTCGCCGCCTGATCTTCCTCCCTCACCTCAGAACGTTCTCGCCGATTCGGACGGCGGTGCAGACGGCGAAGACGCGGCAGAAGACGACGATGTCGCGTCTGCGACTTCGGGAGATGGCGCAACGACTTCGGACGATGAGGAGCGTGCGAGGGCGGACGATGCGGGAGAGGGACTTGCAGGTGATGTTGGAGCGGATGTGGATCAGGTCGTTGCGCTGTTTTGAGGCCTTTGGAATCGCAATGGGACGCTCGTTTCGCGAGGCAGGGATCCAGGAATTGTTCCTTTCCCTCGTCTCCGGACTGCTTGCTTCGCTTTACGCTTGAAGGTTCGTGAGAGTGTCCCAGCTACGCACCACAAGCGAGAATGAGCCGCTTCGAGCGACAACTCCGCTCTCCGCTTCTCTCGCTCCGTCCTCACGCTGCGTCTCCGCTCACTTGCTTCGAACGCGCTCGGCGCGTGCCAGAAAGATGCCTGGTGTACGGCACTACCTCGACCTGCACCACCTGCGCCGGCTAGAGTGCGTCGTCCTCGCACCTCGCTCGAACCTCGGACTTCTCGAAGCTGATCCCCTCCCCGTCGTTGCGGTCAGCGAGTATGCTTATTCGGCGGTCGACAAGTCGCCTGTGTCGCAGTACATCATGCGGCACTGGTGGACCTGGACGGCGTCGTTCGCTCCGCCCTGGCTTGCACCCAAGTTCGTTCATCAGTTTGCGTGTTTCTCTCGTCTCGCAGCGCTCTGACGGGCTTGGTGTCTGCAGCGCTATCACCGTCATCGGATTCTGCGCCATCCTGCTGAATACGGCGACGGTCGCGTTGGTAGCGGGAGACTTGCGAGGGAGCGAGAACGGGTGGGTGTGGGCGAGTTGCGCTGCAGGACTGTTCTTCTACCAGGTGCGTTGCGAGCCGAGGTTGCGTTACCGGAGAAGGCGTAGGAGCCTAAAGGCTGACGCTTTCGATGGTCGTCGACCATGCAGACAATGGACAGTACGCTTCAATCTCCTTCGACGCATCCTTCGCGCTCATTCACCCGCTGACCTGTCCAGTCGCACAGACATCGACGGCAAGCAGGCACGGAGAACGGGAACGAGCTCGCCAATGGGAGAGCTGTTCGACCACGGACTGGACACGCTCAAGTACGTTCTTCGCCCAGTCTTCTCCTCTTTCTCGCGCCGTTGACCTCGATTCACGTAGCTGCCCGCTCGGTGCGCTCATTCAGGCGTCGGCGATGGCGCTTGGCCCGTCATCGCTGGCGCTGCTCTGCATCCTCGTTCCGTGCTGGAGCATGTACGTCGTGCGTTGCCTGTCTCGCTCGTTCGTCTTTTCGCCTGGTATGCTGACTCGTCGTGCGCGTTACGCAGAGTACGTGGGAAGAATATCATACCGGCACGCTGTATCTCGGCTTCGTGAACGGGTCAGTCCCGTCCACCTTCTCGACGACCGGGCAATTCGCTGACATTAGTCGCGTGTAGACCCGTCGAAGGCGTCCTCCTCGCCGTCTTGATTCTCGTATGGACAGCCATCAAAGGTGCGCGAGGACTCAACCGAGGCCATCAGCGCGCCTCGAGACTCCCGCTCGGAACTGACGCTTGATCATCGGCTTGTGTTTCCGCACAGGCTCGTCCTGGTGGCTCCTTACCGTCTCCGAAGCGTTCGGGGATGTCGCGCTCCTCCCGTCAAGCTGGCGGATGAGCCACCTCGTGATTGCTTTTCTGACCATCGCATTTCTGACGACGCATCTCCCGCTCTGGTGCGTGTCTGACGCGAGCCCTTCTTCTCTTGAACACCCGAGCTAGTCGTGAGCTGATGTTACGCTCGACCTCCTGCGCACAGCCTCTGGAACGTCTACTCGCAACTCACCTCCCCTCCGCGCCGCCCTCTCACCCGACCAGGCCGGCACTCGACGACCCTCAACCCTCCTTCTCCCGCTGAAGCGTTCCAGCAGCTCCTTCCGATTGTCGGCTTCAGCGTGTTGACGGTCATGTGGGTCCTGAGCCCGCAGAGCGTGATGCTCGAGGGAGGAGGGAAGTTGGTTGAGTTTGCGCTTGTTGTCTGTGAGTCTCGTTCGCGGCTGTCCGCCTTCCACACCCTCTGGGATGTGCGCTGACTTAGTCGTCTTTTGGTGGACTCGCAGGCTTCCTCTTCGGCCAGCTCTCATCCAAGATCATCCTCGCGCACTTGACGAAGGGGCTCTTCCCGTTTTCTTGGCCGCTCCTCATTCCTCTCGCAATTCCGGCTATCGCAGTCAACACCCCTTACCTCGGGCTGTCGGTCGAATCTCGCTTTGCGATCGGAATCCTTCGAACTGACTCGCTTGCACGCAGCCCGTCTCTCCTCCCTCCGACGCTCGAAGCGCTCTACCTTCACCTTCTTCTCACCCTCTCGCTCCTCTCCTACACCCTCTCCGCCCACGCCGTCCTCTCCTCCTTCTGCGGCTACCTCGGCATCTCCTGCCTCACGATCCCCTTCCCGAACAAGGCAGTCGAGGGGTGGGTGCCTCTGCCCACCGTCAAGCTGCACCAGAGTGCTCGACCGCCTTCGATGGGCGAGTACGGCGCGCAAGAGGAGGTGGAGACGTACCCCCCTGCATCGGCTGCCGGACGGGCGCCCCTCGCGCTCGACCGCGTGAGGAGGTGGCTCGATTCGGCTGCTTCGTCCTCGTCCAGGGGAGACGGGTCGTCGCTCGGCGTGAACGGCGATGCGGGAGGAGGCGGACGGAAACGGAGCAATACGAGCGAGAGGGAGAGGGAAGTTGGGCTGGGTGGCAGCGGCGGTGCAGCGGGTGCGCCGTCACCTCTAGGTGTGGGAGGAGCTGGCGGTGCGGCGGGACAGGCGGGCAGGATCGCGGGTTCGCCACGGAAGGGAGGAAGGGCGTGAGGAGCGGCCGCGGGGGCTTGGTCGTCGGCAAGGAGGCGGATCTCTCGGGCCGCGGTAGACTCGCAACTTATCAAGCATCGCACTGCATCCCTGGCATCGCACGACTACACTTTCGCCGTGTCGAAGCGAGCGAGGCGAAGGGAGATTCCTGGAGGAACGGGACTCGGCGGGTGCGGCGAGTCCGGGTGCGCCTGGAAGCCCTGCGAGAATACTCCTAGATATCCTGCGAGTCATTCCGTCCAGCCGAACCCGTGCGAGACGTCGACAGCGAACCTTCCTCCTCATCTCGCTCGCTCACCTTGCTCGTCGTCAACTTTGCGCTCTGAAGTCATGTTCGCCCGCCAGTCGCTCTCTGTCGCCCGTCAGGCTGCCGCACGCCGCACCGTCGCCCTCCCCAAGGCGCGCGCGTTCCACGTCGACAGTGCGTTCGCCTCCCTTCTCGCGGTGCTCATCGCAACGCTACACAGCGACGAGAAGCTACGCTGACCCTTGAGTGGTGCTCGCAGACGTCATCAACAACACCACTCCCTTTGGTGCGCACCGCCGTCCTCTCCTCGCGCGGTCGCGAACCTTTCGCCGAGTCCGGCCCCCTCCGCCAACTCTCGCCTCGCGATGCAGGCTGGATGCGCTTGTCAGGAGGGTGAGCTAACCTCGACTGTTTGCGCGGCGCAGACCAGACCAACGGCACCAAGCTCGCGCTCTACATGATCGGCTTCTTCGGCGGCGGATTCGCGATCCCCTTCGTCGGTGCGTGCCCGACTGCCTGTCTGCCCTCTCTTTCGCTTAGACGAAGCTGACTTTGTGCTTTCGTCGACGTGCGCACAGCCGCCGCTTTCCAGATCCACAAGGCCTCGGCATAAACACCCTTTCGCTTCGGAACGGCGGACTCGTGCGTGGGATGTATTGCGGGCGAGGTCTCGCTGGAATGGAGGAGTCTATTTGTCGCTCGATAAGGTGGACACGAGATGCCGACCGGATGAGCGAGCGGTCGAAGAAGACGACAGGGAGGCTTCACTCGATGCTGTCGTGGGCGTGCTCGCTGGACGCTGCAGATTGGACAGGCTTCAGACAACCTATCTACACTGGTTCGTTTCCTCCAGCGGCACGGCTGTCAGGCGGAAATGCTTCCGTCGCTTAACCCGGACGCTCCTTTTTCTCGTGCGCTTTCGAGTCGCAAAACGCTCGCAGCACAATCGCCCAATCGAGGTACACTAGCCCAGGCGCAGGCGCGAAGAACAGGTGATGCTTGCTGACTTCTCCGCCCTCTCACTCTGGAGGACGAAAGACGGGCAAACGAGGACTTCTGGTTTTCTTCTGTCTCCGAAACGCATCAAGATCAAGAAAGAGCACGAAGCCAGGCATCCAGGTGCTCCAGACGGGTTGGTTGAAGATGCGCGAGTAAATTGCTTGGATATCGGAGGTCGAGAGGGCGTCGGAGGCGAGGTTGAGGCGGCGATTGAAGTAGGTGGAGGGATCAGAGAGCATCGTAGCTGCTAAGTAGCCTGCGTTTCAAGCGAGTGTCAGTGGGCAAGTTCGAGCGAGAGGAAGAGAAGGGAGCGTACCTATGTCGCCGGTCGAGACGAGCTGGAGTTGTCGCGAACCGAAGACGGCGCGGAAGAAGCCGAGTGCGAGGGAGCGCATCAGGCCGTTCCGCTTCGGGAACTGCGTGCGTTGCGAGGAGGTCAGCTCGGATGACGGCGAGGAAACAGAAGCGATGGCAGACTTACGTTGTCCATGAACAGCACCGGCGCGACAACCTTCCACTCAATTCCGCTCTCCCTCAGTCCCTCCTCAATCCTCACCTCTGAATCAATGTGCGAAATGCCGATCATTGGCGTCGCGTCGGTGACGGAGCTGAAGACGAGGAAGACGAGGTTGGCGGTGGCGGGGCGTCTTCGGCGTCTTCGGCTGGTTGGCCTCTCGCTGGTTGAGCTATGACTGCGTGGAGGGAGCGTCAGCGCGAGGAATCAAATGAGCAAGAGCGACAGGACGAACGTATCTAGAAATGCGGAACGGACACCAACGAGCGCCTCGCCCAAACTCTGCTCATCCGCCAGATTTTCACGGACGACCTCGACGCCCTGGTCCTTGAGCTTCTGCACTCAGGACTGGACGGGTTGCGCGAGAGCGCGCGGACTTGAGGATGATCTAGAAGAGCGAGGAGCGCGCGGACGATGGCAGAGCCTTGCTTGCCAGTCGCACCGACACTGCGCATCGGAGAGTAAGCAGGCATGGTTGCGTCGAGTGTATGAAGTCAAGGACAGCGGAAGGCGCGACGGTTGCGCGAAGGTCGGGAGCCGACACCTGTATCAGCGCACAATAAGGCGGAAACTCCGGCCACGAGAAACGGAACGACGGACCGGCGGCAGCCAGTGTCGACGTGTACAGCCGGTAACTTATCGGCGCTGAGCACTGTAGAGCGAGTCGGGCGGAGCGGCGACGGACCGCGCGACGATAGCGAGCGCAGGCGGAGAATCAGGAAAGGAGGGGACCGACGATCTGCGGGCGGACGTGACGCTGTTCCCGACGTCGTGCAACGCAGCATGCGGCGATACCGGGCTCCCGCGTTCACAGCATGGTCGCGGGGCGGCGTAAAATCGTTGCGGAGAAAGGCTGGCGGAGGGAGCGAGCGATGCGGGCGGAGGTCTGAGTCAGCTGTGCGGCGCTCAAGAAGCGATGGACAGCCAGCAGCACGTCGTTCTCCTTCTTCTCCCGCACCAGCAACCCTTTCCCAGCCTTCCCAGCGACCCTCGAGCGAAATGTCCACCAACCCGACCCCCTCCTCCTCCTCCTGGCAGCATCGCGCTCAGGCGGCGTACGACGAGACGCAGGCCAAGATCCCAGCAGACTGGCGCATCGACGAGCGTCTCCTCGCGCCCGCCTGGGTCGATGTCGCCGCGCAAGATCCGGACGAGGTCGAGCAGCGAGTCGACGGCGTGCTCGCGTCGAGCGGGATCCTGAGCGAGGACGAGTTGCGCATCGTCCACAGCGACGCCACGGCCACCGTCAACAAGCTCCAGCGCGGCGAATGGAGCGCCGTCGCCGTCGTGACGGGTGTGTCGCTCGCCAACCCCCTCTCTCGCTCGTTCACGACGCTGACTGTCGCTCGTTCTCGCTCCGATGAAGCGTTCTGCAAGTCGGCTGCCATCGCACAGCAGTTGTACAGGTGCTGCACCGAGCTCTTCTTCGACCGCGCCCTCAAGCGGGCACACGAGCTCGACGACCACTTCTCGAAGACCGGCAAGCCTGTCGGACCCTTGCATGGCCTGCCAATCAGCTTGAAGGGTGCGTGGACTTCCACAGTGACGCTGTGAGTTAGGCTGACGATTCGTTGCGCCCGCAGACCAGCACGAGCTGAAGGGAATGCGCAACACGATCGGCTTCGTCTCCTGGCTCGACAAGCTGGCCGACGCAGACGGTCCTATCGGCGCAGCTCTCGAGGCAGACGGCGCCGTCCTCTACGTCAAGAGCAACGTACCGACCTCGCTCTTCGGGTCCGAAACCGTCAACCGGATCTACGGACGCTGCCTGAACCCGCTGAACCGTCGGCGCGGTCCCGGTGGTTCGTCTGGCGGCGAAGCGGCTCTCCTCGCCTCCTTCGCGTCTCCCCTCGGACTCGGTAGCGACATTGCAGGCCCGATTCGCATCCCAGCAGCGATGTGCGGTGTGTACGGCTTCAAACCCTCGTTCGGACGCCTGCCTTTCCTCAGCGGTCGAGGCGTCGGCGGAGGCGCCGAATTTGTCTACCCCGTATGGGGACCTCTCGCACGCTCTATTCCCGACCTCGCCTTGCTCATGCGGTCGGTCATCGCATCGGAGCCTTGGAGGATCGACCCAACTTGCGTTCCGATGCCTTGGAAGCCGGTCACGCTCAACCGACCGCTTCGAATTGGCGTCTTGCGCGACAACGGAATGGTCCGACCGCATCCGCCCATCCGGCGAATGCTTGACGAGACGGTCGAGAAGCTGAAGGTGGCAGGTCACGAAAGTGCGTTCCGCTTCACTTCCTCGGCAGCTTATTCTTCCTGACTGGCTCGCACCACCGTTGCAGTCATTGACTGGGACGTCGCCCCTCTGCACGCCCAGGCGCTCAAGATCGGTTTCGCCTTCCTCTTCCAAGACGGCGGCGCCGCTCTCCGCGCAGAGCTGAAAGACGAGCCGGTCCTTCCGTGCATCTACACGGGCAAGCCTGGCTCGGAACTGACGTCGGACGAGATGCTGAAGTTCTACTGGGAGATGTTCGGGTTGCGGATCGAGTGTGAGTCTGCCATTTCTCCTCCGCTCGCTCGTCTCGCTCGACTGACCTTCCCTTTTCACGCAGACCGCCAACGCTGGAACGCCCTCAAGCTCGACGCCGTCATTTGCCCCGTCGCTTCACACGCAGCCGTCTCTCACGACAACTACAACGACTGGACGCATACCTTGCCCTGGAACGTCCTCCAGTACTGCGCGCTGGCGATGCCGGTTGGAAAGATCGAGGAGGGCGAGATGCAGGTGAGCAAGGAGTATAGGCGGGAGGAGCCGAGGAAGGTGGAGGTGTTGAGGGAGGGGTTGAAGAAGGTCAGGGGCGAGGAGGAGAACCGCGCGATGTGTGCGTCCTCGCTTCCATTCTCCGTTGCAGCTGTCGTGCATTTCACTGACGTTCTAATTGCTCTCCACTCGCAGGGCTCGACAACAATCTCCGCCGCGACAGCCTCGGACTCCCTCTCTCGCTCCAAGTCGTAGCACCCACCTACATGGATGAGCAGTGTCTCGCCGTCGCTTCCGTCATCGAGAAAGTCGTCAAGTCGTAGACGTAGCCGTCTTCCCGCGCGTTTGGAACGTCTGTTTGGCTTCACAGCGTTTGGCTCGAGATTGCAGCTTGCATCGCTGCTCCCGCTCGCGTTTCATGTCGATCTCTAGCAGCCTTTCTGCTCCTCTTGTGCCTTGTCGTTGGCCGAGGCACAAGGAATGCATAGATCAAGGACATTTGCGCTCACGAGAATCACGACGGCCCGACAAGACGGACCTGAATGACGACGCACAAACAACGAGTTAATTCACAGGCAACAGACTACTGACTCTTGTCCGCCACCCGCTCGCGCAACCACTCCTCCAACCCCTTCAACCTCGGGAACTCCTTCCTGAGCGCCTCGATATCCGCCGAGTACCCAACCTCATGGAACCAGCGCATCATCATCTTGAAGTCATGCGGGAGGAGGGAGACGACTAAAGAGGGGAACCAGGCCTTCCAGACGGATTGGGTGTAGACGCGCGCGTAGGTCGTGCGGACTTCGTTCATGGAGAGGTTGTCGGCGGCTAGGTCGATGCGGCGGTTGGCGTAGCGGTCTGGGTCGTTGAGCATCTCGGCGGCGACGTAGCCTGCGGGTCAAAGCTTGTCAGCGTGAGGTCAGGAAGAGCGAGAAGACGCGCGACGAACCGATGTCGTCGGCCGAAATGAGCTGGATCTTTTTGCCCTGAAGCGCGGCGTCGAAGAACCCGAGCGCCATGGCGAGAGCAAGGTTGTTCTGCTTCGGGTACTGCAGATTGAGACAACGTCAGCACATGAAAGCGCTGAGGGGAAGGGATTGAATCGGGCGCACGTTGTCCATGAAGGCGACAGGCGCGACCACCGCATGCTTCAACCCGCTCTCCTTGAGCGCCTCCTCGATCTTGGCCTTGGTCTCGAAGTGTGGAATGCCGATTGTGGGTGTAGCATTGGCGACGGAGGAGAAGACGAGGAAAGGGAGGTTGGCGCGCTTGGCTGCGTCGACAAAGTTCCGGCCTTGCTGGTCTTCGGTTGGCTGGCCTTTGCTGGGGATGGCGGTGACTGTGGAGTCCAAGGTAAGCGCAAGGAAGAGTAGTGAAGACGCAAAACGGAACGCACCGAGGAAGGCTGAGCGGACGCCGACGAGGGCGGCATCGAGACTCGCAGGATCGGTCAAGTCGCCCTGGACGACCTCGATACCCTGTTCCTTCAGTTTCTGCGCCGCCGGACTCGCCGGGTTGCGTGTGAGGGCGCGGATTTGGGGAGGCTGAGCGAGAGCCTGGAGGGCGCGGATGACGGCAGAGCCCTGGGTTCCGGTCCCTCCAAGGACGAGCACGGGTGAGAGAGCAGGCATTGTAAGTAGCAGAGAGTGAGTGTGAAGCAGGAGAGAGACCAGCGAGGGGCGAGGCAAGCGAGATAACGACTCGCAAGCGGTGTGTCAGCACGACGTAAGCAAGCACGCGCCGAAGGCCGTCCGGCGTGACTGGCGGGCCGGAGCGTCGTCACATCGCTTTGGCTGACACGAGAAGAGGAGCGCGCAGGTACCGACAACCGAGCGAGAGATGAAGCGAAAGAAGCGGCGGCGAGCGGAACATCGTCAATAGAAACTAACGTTTCAGGAGGAAGATAGCGACAACTACTGCTTGAGGATCTTGTCAATAATAGCGCCGACAGCGAGGCACTGCTCGTCCATCCAGTGCGGCGCGACGACCTGAAGCGAGAGAGGGAGTCCGAGGCTGTCGCGGCGGAGCTTGTCGTCAAGCCCTGCGAGTCGAGAGCGATTAGACCGTCAGTGCAGTGCACGGCAGCTTCGAAAGGATGGAGAGAGGCGAGGACACACACATCGCTCGATTCTCCTCCTCGCCCCTAACCTTCTTCAAGCCCTCCTTGAACGCGTTGAACGACCGCGGCTCCTCCCTCCTGTACTCCTCGCTCACCTCCATATCGCCCTCCTCGATCTTGCCGACCGGGATCGCCAACGCGCAACACTGAAGCAAGTTCCACGGCAAGGTGTGCGTCCAGTCGTTGTAGTCGTCGTGTGGGACAGCGGCGTGCGAGGCGTTCGGGCAGATGACGGCGTCGAGGTTGAGGGCGTTCCAGCGCTGGCGGTCTGCATGAACAGGGCAGGTCAGGGACGCGGGTAGAGGACGAAGAAAAGTAGAGACGTGAACGCACACTCGATCCGCAGCCCAAACGCTTCCCAGTAAGACTGAAAAACCTCCTCGGTCGACAACTCAGATCCAGGCTGGCCGGTATAGACGTTCGGAAGGTGCGGCTCGTCCTGCAGTGTTGCGCCGAGCATCGCGCCGCCGTCTCGGTGGAAGAAGGAGAAGGCGAGGTTGTGCGCTTTGATGTGGAGAGGGGCGACGTCCCAATCGATGACTGCGATGCAGGAGCGAGTCAGTCAGGCAAGAGAGGCAGACGAGGTAAAGGAAACGGACCTTCATGTCCGGCCGCCTTGAGCTTCTCGACGGTCTCGTCGAGCATTCGCCGGATCGGCGGATGCGGCCTGACCATGCCGTTGTCACGCAAGACGCCAATCTTGAGTGGACGGTCAAGCTTGACGGGCGTCCAAGGCATCGGGACGCAAGTCGGGTCGATCTTCCACGGTTCGGACGAGATGACCGACCGCATGAGCAGCGCGAGATCCGGAATCGAGCGCGCGAGCGGTCCCCACGTAGGCAGGACGAACTCGGCGCCTGAGCCGACTCCCGCGCCGCCGAGGATGGGCAACCTCCCGCAACTTGGCTTGAAGCCGTACACGCCGCACATCGCGGCGGGCATGCGGCATGAGCCGGCGATGTCGCTACCGAGACCCAGAGGAGAGGCGAAGGAAGCGAGGAGAGCCGCTTCGCCGCCGGAAGAACCGCCAGCGCCGCGTCGACGGTTCAGCGGGTTCAAGCAGCGGCCCCAGATCCGGTTGACGGTGTCGGACGAGAAGAGGGATGTCGGTACGTTGCTCTTGACGTAGAGGACGGCTCCGTCTGCTTCAAGAGCTGCGCCGATAGGACCGTCTGCGTCGGCCAGCTTGTCGAGCCAGGAGACGAAGCCGATCGTGTTGCGCATTCCCTTCAGCTCGTGCTGGTCTGCGGGCGCAACGAATCGTCAGCCTAACTCACAGCGTCACTGTGGAAGTCCACGCACCCTTCAAGCTGATTGGCAGGCCATGCAAGGGTCCGACAGGCTTGCCGGTCTTCGAGAAGTGGTCGTCGAGCTCGTGTGCCCGCTTGAGGGCGCGGTCGAAGAAGAGCTCGGTGCAGCACCTGTACAACTGCTGTGCGATGGCAGCCGACTTGCAGAACGCTTCATCGGAGCGAGAACGAGCGACAGTCAGCGTCGTGAACGAGCGAGAGAGGGGGTTGGCGAGCGACACACCCGTCACGACGGCGACGGCGCTCCATTCGCCGCGCTGGAGCTTGTTGACGGTGGCCGTGGCGTCGCTGTGGACGATGCGCAACTCGTCCTCGCTCAGGATCCCGCTCGACGCGAGCACGCCGTCGACTCGCTGCTCGACCTCGTCCGGATCTTGCGCGGCGACATCGACCCAGGCGGGCGCGAGGAGACGCTCGTCGATGCGCCAGTCTGCTGGGATCTTGGCCTGCGTCTGGTCGTACGCCGCTTTAGCGCGCTGCTGCCACGAGGAGGAGGACGGGGTCGGGTTGGTGGACATTTCGCTCGAGGGTCGCTGGGACGGGGTGCTGGTGATGGAAGAGGAGGAGAACGACGTGCTGCTGGCTGTCCATCGCTTCTCGAGCGCCGCACAGCTGACTCAGATCTCCGTCCGCCTCGCTCGCTCCCTCCGCGACCTTTCGCCGCAATTTATCCGCGTCGCGCACACACCGATTCGTGGACCGGACAGATAGCACGTGAACTCGGATACGTCCCGTGAGCTTACGCTCAGTCCGCCGGCTCGCGACGGAGGCCTCAATCGCACGTAGTCCACGGAGCGACGCCTCACTTGTCTGCTGCGGCGCCATCTCGCGCACAACGAGCGCGTATGAGCACCGCTGCTGCCTGCTACCAACTGCTACACATCTCAAGATGACCCTTGCTCGCAGGGAGTACACCCACGTCCGTCCCTGCGATCGATTCCATAGCCTTTGGCCGCTGAGCCTGCAACCTCGACTCGCGCTCATTATCGCAGGACGCGCCGCCCGGCACCGACTTTCTTGATGCAGACGGCAAGGCACACTCCGTGCACTACCCTATGCCGTCCGACTCGATCCACGACCCGCTCGTGTGGAAGCCAGCTTACAAGGTTCGTCTTCCGAGACCCAGATCTGCCTGCTTACTCACTTTGACTGACGAGATCTCGTTCATCAGGCTGCCACATACTGGCTCGGAGCTTGGTGGGTCTTCTGGGCGTGTCTGCCGGTCGGAGCGCTCTCGTTCATCTACCCTGCCTTGATCCGAGAGTGCGTTCGTCTTCTCTTTCGCCTGCCAATACCGTGCTGAACGAGGTTCCGCACTTTCTACAGCTACAACATGACGCCTGTCGACATCTCGAGGGTAATGGGCTGGAACGGACTCGTTCTCGCGCTCGTCGGATTCATCTTGGTGAGTTGCGACGATCATATCCGCCTCGCCTGTCCGCTTTCCGCTCACCTGACGATGTCACAGCTTCCTTACGCTTCTGCATATGGTCGTCGCCCCATGATCCTTCTGAGCAACCTCGTCAGCAAGTTAAACCGTTCCATTTCAACGAGTTCCCGGCTTACGAGGGCTCCTTCGCGCAGCCATCGCCGGCCTCATCTGGATCACTCAGACGCACACGCATCGCAGCTTCCTGTGGGCGCGCAACGTCTATAGCATAGGCGCCGGCGCCATCGAGTTCCTCGGCCTCTGCCTCGCAGGCGACCTCTTCTTCACGCAAGATGCGGGTTTCTGGCACGCAATTGGCTTTGCGTCGCTTGTCCTATCGTCGAATGTGGGCGCGCCGATTCTCGGGGCGTTCGAGCAGCGGAATCACGGTGCGTCCGTTCCCTCCCGCCTTCGCGAGAGAGACTGACCTTCCGGGACGCACAGGCTGGCGCAACTTCTTCTGGTTCTTGGCAGGCATCCTCATCTTCACCCAAGTCGTCTTCGCCGTCTTCTTCCCCGAAACGCTCTGGCACCGCACGAACGCCTCTTCTCGCGGCGAATTCGTCTCGAGCGACCCGTCCGGCACGACCGCCCAGTCCGAGCCTGAGACCGTCTCTCACGACGACGAGAAGGATGATAAGTCGCCCTACAGTCCCGCCACGACAGACATCTCGACCGTGAACGGCCTCTCCACCGCCCAAGCCGCCATCATCGCCAACGTCGGCAAAGGCTACCCCAGCACAGCGCAGCGCTACTCCGTCTTCCCTCCACGCAACAAGCAGTACTCGGTCGTGCAGAACATGCTCGACATGCTCGTCCTGTCGTCCTTCGGGTCAATCATCCTCTTCACGATCTGGTGGTCCGCGTTCTGCGGTTTCCTCATTTCGACCGGCTTCGTAGCGAGCGCCATCTGGGCTGCGCCGCCATACAACTTCGGTCCTGTCGCCGTCGGCTGCACGAACATCCCGCCGACAATTGGCATCTTCCTCGGATTTTTCGTCGCGGGGCCGGTTGTCGATCGGGACGTCGCGCAGCAGGCAAAGCGGAACAACGGCGTGCGGGAGGCGGAGATGCGGTTGCGGTCAGCGATTGCTGGCGGAGTCGTCGCCGTCGTCGGGCTTGTCATCTAGTGAGTCTCGTTTCCTCCGACAACCAGCCCCGAAATAGTTGACCGTCTTCCCTCGCCCTTGCAGTGGCATCGGACTCGAGCGACAATGGCACTGGTCAGCAATCTTGATCCCCGGTATCGGTCTGGTGCGCGCGACTTACAGACTTCGCAGCGGGCTCGACGAGCTGACCTTCGCAACTCTCGCAGAACCAATTCGCATCCGCCTTCTCCGTCGTCGCCATCTCGTCGTACGCTACGGACGTTTACAAGCAGTACGCCCTCGAGATCGGCTTCATCACGACGCTGTTCAAGAACAGCTGGGTCTTCGGTCTCGGTGCGCCCGCTTGACCTCGCTCGATCCTTGCGCAGCTATGTGCTGACTGAACAGGCTTCGCTCGCGCAGGCTACTTCATGAACGATCTCTATGTCCGCGTCGGTCCGCTCAAGATGACTGTCCTCATCTCCATCCCGCTCTACGCAGCGATCGTCTTGACCGTTCTCTTCGTGCGTCCTTCCTTCCGCCCGTTGCATTTGCGACGAACGCTGACCTTCTGTTCTACGTAGCTCTGGATCGGAAAAGCTACCCGCCGCTTCAGCGCCAAGTTCGCCATCATGCAGCGCGACTAAAGACCCATTCGTACCCCTTCGCTAATCCACGCTCGCCACTCGTCGGCTGCGGGTCCTCCGACGTCTGTCGCTTCGGTTGTACAGTTATTCGTGACAATGCAGGACGCTGTGCTGTTCCGTGATTTCCGACCCAAGTGCGAAGGTGCGATAGATGCGAGAGAAGGACCGGGGAGAGGTATCCTACAGCTAAGATACGGGTATCGCTAAGCAGTACAAGAGAATAAGATGTCGTTGCTGTAACGCGCGGGAGAGGCGGGATGGGTCGCGGCTGTCAAGGGGAAGACCGAAGTCAGCGACGGTATCGAAAAGCAGATCCCGCTAGCTCAGACACACCTGCTCACGACGCAAAGCTGTGATAGGCGTACAAGCCCTCGCGGTACCCGAGCATGCCCTCGCCCTTCAAAACCTCCATCTTGCGCGGATTCCACGCGACCTCGAGGCCGGACCGGTTCTGGTCGACGAGCTTGAGGAGCGCCTGGCGCTGCGTGTCGGTACGAGGGAGGTGGAGGAGCTGGCGAGGACGGGTCGAAGGCGAGTAGTAGGGCGTAAGAGTCGAGGTGGTGGCCGTGTCGACGTACCTGAAAGAGTAGGCCGGGTGAGCAAGCGAATGAACAACGCGAGAGAAAGTTGAACGCACCAGCCACGCCGGCCCTTGCCCCAGACGGGCTTCCAGTCGCCCGCGCCGCCCTGCACCAGCTCGAGGCTCTTCTCGTCGAGCTCGACGATCCGCAAGTTGGTCTGCCGCAGCGCCAGCAGAAGTTGCGCCTCTTCCGGATTCGGCGACGACGACTCGAGGCTCGCGCACTGCGAGAGGAGGACTGCATGCAGCTCCATGATCGACATCGAAGGCGGGCCGAGGGTTACGCGTCGCCGACTGCTGATGCTCTGACCGACGAGCGACGGGCACGAGTGGCTCAAGTCGAGGATCTCGACGGCGTTGGCTTTGGTGCAGAGGAAGGTCGAGACGGCATGCATCGTGATTGACCGGCAGTGGGCGAGTCCGAGCTGCATCAGGTTCGGCTGAGGCGGGATGAGCCCGGTGAGGATCACGTCGGACATGGGCGTGCTGGAGAGGTCGAGGGTGCGAAGGCGACCGGAGCGGAAAGCGGGCGAGGCGGAGACGACGAGGCGAAGTTCCGGAACCTCGAGGGGCGAAGGGTACGTCCCGTCGCCGAAGAGCGAGAGGTCGGTCAGCTCGCTGACGACCTCACCTGATCCCCACGATTCGTCCTCGTCGTCTGACAGGCCAGCGAGCGTCGTGAGAGGTGGGCAGTCGCCGCAGAAGAGGCCGAGGAGGGCGGCACCGGTGATGAGGCGGCAGCGGGCGAGCGAGAGCGCCTTGAGACGCATCGGGCGTCCGCCGATGCCCTTCTGTCCGGCCAAGGCGAGACCCTTGAGCAGCATCGGCGACGTAAGAGTCGAGGCGAGGTCGAGGTGCGTGAGGTAGGGGAAGGAGAGGACGAAAGAGGTGAGGAGGTCGGAGGGAAGGAGCGACGAGGCGAGACCAAGTCGACGCAGGTGAGGGAAGAAAGTGCGATTGAGGATGCGCTCCTCCGTGTAGCCCATCCTGACCGACCGCAAGGAGGGCGTCCGGTATCCCATCTCCATCTCTTCGTCCTCGTCCTCCTCGCCAAGCGTGTCCATCCCAGGCGGTGGCATGAGCGCCTTCGGACCACACTTGTACATCTTGACAAACTCTTCGAGGCCTGCGACAAAGACGCGCGAGACGCAGCCGCACAAGTCGAGCGCCCGGACGGGCTGCATCGTCAGGCTGCCTTCGAGGACTTGGACCGTCCGCTTCGGCGCTGGCTCGGGTGCCCAGCGGCCGCTCACCGATGCTGGAACGGACGAAGAGCGCTCGGATGCGCGCGAGAGGGACTGGTGGCGGAAAGGAGGGCGAGAGCCGTGACCTTGCGAAGCGCGCACTTGCGGGAGTTGTGGCACGGCATGCGCGGGCAGGGACGCCGAGCGGGTGAGGAAGGCGTGAGGCGGAAGGAGCGAGCGGTTGAAGCGAGGACGACCTCGAGGATGCGATTCAGTCGGTGTCGCAAGCCCGCTCGCGCTCTGACTGGTCGGCAATGCACCCCGACTCCGCCCGAATCGCTCTCGACCTCGCATTTCTTCCTCGTCCTCGAGGTCCTCCGCGCCGCTCGACATGTGCTCGTCAGGCGACCCGACCGGGTGCATCTGTCCGTTCGGCTGAGTCGCAGGCGGAGCGAACGACGACCCGCTCGGCCTCCTCTGCATCCAATGCGCAGGCCTGCGTCCGACGGGCGTACGCGAGCCCGACCCAGGCGCGTCGTCATCCGTGTCGACCATCGTCTCGTCCTCCTCGGCGATCGACGTCGAGATGGACGAAGAGCGGGTGCGGTGGCTGCCCCGGTCTGTCGAGGGCGAGCGAGAGTGTGACGAGGCGAGGTGGCGGTAGTGGAAGGGTTCGTGAGGGGAAGCAGGGACGTGCGAGCCGGGCGTTGCACCAAAGTAAGGCGATCGCAGACCGACGCCCAGGTCGGACTCGGACGAGCCAAAGTCCGGCATGAAGGCGGGCTCTTCGGGTTCCTCGTACTCGGCGAGGTAGCCGCCGCGGAAGAGAAGCTCCTCGAGGACCTCGAACGTGATCGCGCTGTCCATGTACTCCGAGAAGCCGACTTGGCAGAGCTGTGCGCACGGCGGTGCAACTCGATCAGCCTCAGAGGAGCATACATCTGCACCGACGCAACAACAAGGGAACAAAGCGCACCTGGCCAGCGACCTTCTTCTTCTTCTTCCCGCCCGGCGTCTCTCCCTCACTCTCGTCGGCACTCGAGCTCCACCTCTCCTCCTCGTCCTCCTCGTCCTCCTCATCCTTGTTCACAACAGGCTTGACAAGCTTGTCCCTCGGGTACCTCGTCCCCTTGAGCAGCGTGACGAGCCGATGAGGCGTGACGAACCGCTCGTGCGAGCCTTGGCGGAGAGTGCGCTTCATCCCCGCCGTACGAAAGCGAGCGAAGGAGATTGCGCGCGTAAAGAGGAGGGGAGAGTCGGCGGGGTCGAGGGTGGGCAGAGGGGCTGGAGGAGGGAAGGAGTTGGCGATTTCGACCGGTGCGGAGTGGTGGCTTGGGAGTGGGTGGCGCTCCTCGGGTGGAGACGAGACGAGTGGTCGCCCGCGAGTCTCTTCCTCGACTGCCGCCTCAAGAGCTGCCTTGAGCCCGCCGGCAAAACCTCCTCCACCAGCTGCTCCTGCGCCTTTCACCGGCTCGTCAAGCTCGAGTCCAACGAGGCCGAGGCTGCTGTTGTTCGCCGCCTCGCTGCTGTGTCCTCTTCCACCTCGTGCATCGCTCCGCAGCGGCCTCGCGACCCTCTGCCCACCGCTGTACTCCTCAATCGTCCTCAACACGCTCTCAAACGCCCTCGGCATCCCGAAACTGACGCGGCGCCACAACGCCCTCGTCGCCTCTGCGCTCCACGTCTTGTCGACGAGGCAGATGGAGGCGAGGGTCTCTTTCGCTTGGGTGTCGAGCGGTTGGGCGAGGTGGGAGGGTTCGTACGGCGTTGCGGGGACGAGCTCGAGGTACGGGTCCGGGCAGGGGAACGGCGTCGGGTAGGGGACGTAGGAGTAGTACAGGTGATGGATGATGAGGGCGACTGCGGGTGTGTGTGTCTTGTGTCAGTCGGAAACCGTCTCGAGGGGGAGGGTTGTGGTCGGGAACGCACTAATCTCGGGGGGAAAGTCGCCCAGGTGTCGCGAGTACGTCGAGTGCAGCGGCGGGTGGTGCGTAAAGTGCGGCCCAGGCGGGTTAGGCGACGACGATGCGAGCGAGAGCAAGTCGAGGTCGGTCACCTGGGGCGGGAGGTCGAACGTCGGCGACGAGGACGACTTTGCGAGGGTCGGTGTAGCTGCGCCTGATCCTCCATCGCTGTGCAAGTCCATCCCACGCCCTGCGCGTGCCCGTGCGGTCGAGTGAAGTTGAGCGAGGCGAGTTCTGGGCGACGACGGCAGCTCGTTCGGAGCGGGCAAGCTGGCGGTACTGGCACACTTTAGTACAGTCTCAAGCAAGCGTCTGAGCCTGTGCACGCCAACGAACCCGAGTGAGCGAGCGAGCGTGAGAGGAAAGCTTGAGGTCAGCGACTCCGCGCGGTACAAACCCCCGACGACGGCAAAGTTCTCTCTTCCAGCTCGTGCGACAGCGTGTGCGAAGTATTGACATTGCTCAAGGTGTAGCGGAACCACCGCCGCCGATAAAGTCTATCTCGTCCCGACTTTCTCGCCCGAAAATGCCGCGAATCTCCGCCGACGAAGTCGAACGTCCTCACACCGTCATGATAGCCGGCTCGTACGCCTTCGTGGGCATCACAGCGCCGGTCAACACCGTCCCGCCTGTCTCGTCCGTCTCAGTCGCCCCGCCGCCGCCGACAGGATACGACTTGAGGCTCGCTTTCGGCCTGTGCTTGTCGTCGGTGAGGTACCACTGGACGAGGGTGGTGCCGAGCTTGAGGTTCGACGTGAGGCCCTTGAAGGCGGCTTGAGAGAGGTCGAGGTTGTGGCCCGTGATGTTGCCCGAGATGCCCTCGACTGGGAGCGCGAGGGAGTCAGTAGCGGTTCAGCTTCAAGCGAGAGGCCTGCACATACTCGTTGCCCGGACGTACGAGTCCTTCTCGAGCTGTGGCGACGTGAAGAATGTCAGGACTGGACGGCCGAGCCACGGAAGCGAAGAAGCCCGCCTGATACATCGTTATGAACTGTCCGCACAGTGGTGAGACAGCGCTCGCATCACCATACTGTCAATCAACATGAGGACGTGAGCAGGCGGAACCGCCAAGTCAAAGGCAAGTGCGGCGGACGACGCACCAACTCCTCGCTAACCCTCACGACCAAATCCGTATCCTTCGCCTTGGTTCCACACTCTGACAATTCACTGCTCGCTTCGAACCAGGTGATCTGCGCGAAGAACGTCTGGCCAGGCTGTACGGCGGTGTCGGTTGTAGTTGGCGAACCGGATGTGGTCGGTTGAGCGGTAAGGAGGGGAGAGGTTGTGACGGGCAGAGAGGGGGGAGAGGTGGTGACGGGTGCTGGAGCAGTGGTGCTTGGCTGCAGTGCGGCTGAGCTGGTCGCTGGAGCCGAAGAGACAACGGCGGAAGAAGAGGTCGAGTCGCTCGAAGAGGAAGAGTCGCGATGCGAGTACTGCGAGGCAAGTCAGCCCACGCTGAGTGTTGTAGAGAGCAGCCATCCGCACCCAGTACCACGCGCCGATGAGCAGCAGGACCACAATGACCGCCACGCCCGCCGCAATCCACCACAACTTCTTGTTGCTGCTCTCCTCCTCGTCCTGCTGGTCCTCCTCCCCATCTTGCTGTCCCGCACCCGCAGCACCACGCTTCTTCTTGCCCCTGCCTCCCTTCTCATCCCGCGAGTCCTGCTCGTCGCTACTGTCCCCCTGCTTGTCCGACCTCTCGCCGTCAGAAGAAGGCGGCGTGCGGTCGCCCTTACCTCCTCCAGCGTCGTCGTCCGAGTAGTCGTCTTGCTGTGCTGGGTCGTATTTGTGCGAGCCTTTAGGCTGCCGAACGAGGTGGTGAGATGAAAGGAGCCGGGTGCGGAGGATGCGAAAAGCGACGCACAACAGAACGCATCGCCCAGACTCGTTCGCCGGCGCGTCCCTTGTGTTGGGCGGACCTCGTAGACCGCCGCTCCGCGTGCCGACCGATACTTCTCTCCTCGTCCTCCTCCTCTTCCGACCCGCTCGTCCGGTCAGACTCCTCGGAAGAGCTTAGGTCGCGCTTGCGGTGAGCAGTAGTAGCATGATAGCGTTGAGAGGACGAAGCAGCAGGCATGGCGGACCAGCGGCGGTTGCGGGAGAAGCGGCGTGAAGAGGAGGACGACAAGAACGACGAGCGAGCTGCCCCGGAGAATCCGCGGACAGGCAGGCGCGGCGTCGGCCAGGGTTTCGCACGTCCTCCAACCCTTGACTTGCCGTGCGAGCTCTGCGAAGCCCTGCCCATCGAGTCTGTTCCGCAGACTGATGAGAACCGACAGAGGTCGTGGGACGAGCGGGAGAGTGACGGGACAGGTCGCTCAGCCCGGAGAGCACAAACACGTAGTTCAGCAGGAGCCGGCGAGCCTGAACGAGCCAGTCCAGCGAGCGTAGCCGTGAGTGAAGAGGCGCAGAGGCGAAGAGGCGGACTTGCCTCTCTCGCTCCTCCTTGTGGCCCTCGACCGCTCAATGAGCTGCTGCTGCCTCTTGAAGGGTGTCTCCAGCTTGCGCAACGCCCAGCTCGTCCATCGCAGACTCCGCGGACCTTCCGCATGTCTTCTCGCCCTCATTCTCCTGCTGTCTTCCTCGCTCTAGCGCATCCAGCTGCTGAGTTCGTGTGGTCTGCTTTGCGCTATCTGCTGCTCTGCAGTGACCGGACACTCCAGTAATGGCCTCCCCCGCCCTCCGCGCAGCTCAACAAGCTCCCCAAATGGCTCGTTACGCCGCTTCAGGCGCACGACGAGCGATGGACGCTTATCGAGACCGTGACCGATACTCTACCGAGTTTGAGGAGGAGTCACAGCCGTCGAAGGGTGGGAGGAGGTCGCGTGAAGGGCAGGCCGAGGGAGGTAGGGAGGCGCTGGTCAGGCCGAGCAGGAAGAACGTCGACAGGGTGAGCTCGCCAATGCTGGACAACCTTGCATACTTGCGCTAACTGTATCCCGTCATACGCTCTCGCAGTCCCGAGGCTCATACGCCGCTGTGGGCCAAACCGACTCTCGCGGTCGCCCTTCAACCGACAGCGCTCGCAACTCGGCTCACACCGACTCGGACCCCGAGCGCTCGCCGAACGGCAGCAGCGACGGCGAGCACTCGGAGGACCTGGAGAAGGGCAAGTCGACGAGCCGGTCGAGCAGAGGTAGGAAGGGAGGAGTCGCAACAGGTGGCTCGGCTAGAAGCGACGACGAGCATGACGATAGGGAGAAGAAGGGGTCCTCGTGGACGAAGTGGGCGCTCATCGGTGGACTGGTCGTCTTGCTGATCGTTGCAGTGAGCGAGCCGTTCTCTTCTTCCGTTTCCTGAGCACTACTGACTGACTGAACACTCGTAGATTGGCGTCGTCATCTACACGATCAACGCAAGCCTTTTCACTCCGACTGGCTGAGCCGCAAGCTGATCCGTCTCGCGCTTGACAGCACAAGAAATCTAGCAGCTCGACGGCGACACCGTCCTCAGCCGCCGAGTCCGCGACTTCCGGCTCGAGCAGCGCTACATCCGCCACGACAAACGCGACGGCTGCATCGGCCGTGTCAGCAGATTCGTCGCTCAACTCGACTGCGACGGACGCGGGCGGAGCGTCTGGTGGTACAGCGGTGCGCGACCTTTCCCCTTGCGTTCTCTGGGCTTGACCGCTGATGACGTCCCGATGCAGGCTTTGACGCCGTCTGCCAGCTTGCCAGCGAGCTCAGCCGCCGTGGACGGGAGCCTGACAACGCAGGTTTTTGCGACCGGCGAAGCAGGACTTCCAGTGAGCCCGCATTCTGTCCATTCTCTCAGCCTGGCACTTACACTGGATTCTTCGGATGTGCAGGTTCAGGTCGGTGGGTCGACTGGCGCACCGACGCCAACGGACGATGCTTTTGCTTCGACGGTAAGGCTGACCTTCCCAAACCTCCTTCACGCGATACGAGCGTGCTGACCGAACTGAACAGCCCGCCATGACATTTGCGACAGCACATGCAGGCGGCGCAACAGGCTCAGCCGACTCGAATGGTATTGGCCAGTTCAGCAACCCGGATTCGCAGATGCCAGACGACTCCTCGCAGTCCCCCGGCCACGACAGGGGCAGCAGACCTACAGCTTCTTCGAGACCTAGCTACGAGGGCCAGCCGGGGTGGCAGACCACGAGCGGAGCAGCGAGTACCGAAGGCTCAACGAAGTTCACGACTACCGCGACTTGGTTTGCTATCGGTGCATCCGCTGCGCACTTCCGCTGCAAGCGGCGAAGCTGAACGGTAGATTCTGCAGATGAGCACCGCACCGCCTGCGGCACGACCTACACAAGCAGCTCTCTCGTCGCCGCTCTTCCTCCTGCACTCGTCCGTCTTCCTCCTTTCCTCTCGCTTCCAGCACTCACTTCTCGTCGCGCAGTACGGCTCGGACGGCGACAGCGTCTCTGCGCTCTGCGGCGCCAAGATGAACGTCTGGTCGCCCGACTCGAACGTGACGATTTCGGTGAAGGTTGGCGATGTCTGCAACGCGTGCGTCGTCTCTCGTCTCCGCTTCACACTCACTTCTTTCGGCTTCCTGACGTTCTCTATCTGATTGACTTGCCCAGCTGCCCGACGACCACCTCAATCGACCTCTCGCAAGCCGCCTTCCTCCGTCTCGCCGGCGCAAGCCCCAAGAACCGCGACGCCGCGCTCGACAAAGGTGTCCTCTCGATCCAATGGTGGCTCGAGGATGCGGGGCTGCAGGCTCAGCTACCGATCGGGTTTAGCGATTGGGACGGGAGTGTGGGCGAGTCGAACGAGGGCGCTCGTCGATAGAAGGGGCTTTTATAGATCGCACAACTTAGTTTCATTGCTTTTGACAACGTAGGAAAGGGTGAACAGACGAAAGCGAGAGGGAGGTACGCAGACAAGCGAGGATTACAAGCGGAGACCGGGGGGCGAGGCGCGAGAGACGACGATGCTCGACGATGCTCACTGCGCGAGGGTGGCGGCGGCGGAGCTGAGGACGACGGTACCGCGCTCCTTACACTTGGTGACTGCGACGAGAAACCCGAAAGTCAGTCAGCCAAAGCCGCTTCGGCGCAAGATTCCGGTGACAGATCGTGCTTCAGACTCACCGAAGACAACCTTGTCGCCCTCCTTCCACATCTCGGTGACGAGCGTCTCGCCGGGGAAGAGGACGCCAGCGAAGCGGACCTTGATGTCGGAGAACGCGCCGTACTTGCGGAAGATGTGCTTGGCCGAGATGCCGAACGAGCAGAGGCCCTGCGAGGCGCGCGAGTGTTAGCTAAGGTCCCTCGTACCATTGAGCGGGCGCACGCACGTGGAGGATGGGCTGGTCGAAGCCGCCGACCTTGGCAAAGTTCGGGTCGACGTGGAGCGGGTTGTAGTCGCCCGAGAGGCGGTAGATCGCAGCCTGTTGGGGGAGCGTCTTCTCCTCGACGACGGCATCAGGCTTGCGGGAAGGAGGCTTGTTGAGCGCGGTCGCAGCGCCGCGGTCCTTGCCGGTCTTGCGACCGCCGAAGCCGCCGGCCTGGCGGATGAAGACGGTCGAGTGGTTCTCGAAGACAACGTCGCCAGTTGCAGAGTCCTTGGTGGTCGTGACGGTAGTGACGGCGGCGGCCTTGCCCTTGTCGAGCACCTCGGCAAGCTTCGACTCGGAGACGAGGGTGCCGGAGGTAGGGATCGGCTTCTTGATCGAAAGGTACTGCTCGCCGTGGAGGAGCATCATGGGCGAGAAGTTGGGAAGCCAGTCGACTGCAAGAGAAAGAGGCGAAGGAAGCCGACGAGGAGAGAAGGGAAGGTCAGTGGAGGCGACAAACAGCGTTAGGGGTCGCGGACGTACGGGACAATCCGCTAGAGACGCTGAACTGCGGCACGACCCCCCAGCTTGGCACAGCTTGGAAATTCTCGTCGCCCTCGAAGATGAGGTCGAGGTCCTTCTCGGTCGCGCCGATGCCGAGGTTGTAGAGGGCGACGTCGCGCTCTGTTTTGACGATACGACGGTCAGTACGATGCGAAGACTCGCAATGCCTGCGGTAGATGTCGACAACCGAGAGTGTCGGGCGGACGAAGCGAGCGGAAGCGAAAGGAGGAGGACTGACCGGTGTAGGTGAACTCGCCCGACGAGTGCGCCTCCTTCTTCGCCTTGGCAACCAACTCCGAGTCCTCCTCATCCGTGTAGTCTTCTCCACCACCCGCCGAAGAAGCGCCCTCATCCTCGTTGCCAAAGTTCGAGATGATACTCTCGAGCGACTCGGCCGTCGAGTTGGGGTTGGTCGCGTTCTCGTCGAAACGGGTGATCTTGTCCCATGCGCCGACGATGTCTTCCGGCGTGACCTTCTGGTTGACGGGGAACTGCGCGACGAGGGAGGAGAAGGCGAGGTTAGGAAGGTCCGTCTCGCGTCGAGGAGAAGGTCGAACTCACGGCGTGTCCGGCGGTGCGCTGCCACCTGATGCTCGCGACCCATCCAGCCGAGACCTCGTACAAGCCCATCGTGTCCTGGTTTGACTCGGAGCCGAGGTAGCCGACGACGGGCGCGACAAAGTCGGGCGAGAAGGCCTTGACCATCCTGCGAGGTTCGGGAGGGTCAGCGACGGCATCGTCAGCTCGAACAAAGCAAATGCTAGCTACTCTTCGGGCCAGATCGTCCTGTCAGAGACGAGAAACAACGGGATGTCAGCGAAGCAGCCGAGGCAGGGGAGGAAGAGGAGACGTACGCAGTCATGGCGGTTCCGGCGTTCGGGACGAGGCTGTCGTCGGTGACGGCGGCGATTAGTGTAGGAGAAGGTGTACGAGAGGATGAAGCGGGTGAGGGAGGAGAAGAAGTGAGGCAAAGTCAGCTCCGGCCGCCGACCCGCAGAGAGACGAATCGCTCGGCACGCACATGTTCGCCAAGATGCCATACTTCTTTCCCTCAATCGCCAACGTCCTCGTCAACCCAATGATCGCGCTCTTAGCCGTCGAGTAATTCGCCTGTCCAAAGTTCCCATGGACGCCAACGGCCGACGAAGTCGTGACGATGCGACCGTACTTCTGTTTCTGGAAGTGAGGCCAGGCGGCTTTGCACACTGCGTAGGTACCCTTCAAGTGGGTCGAGTAGACCGCATCCCACTCGGCGTCGGTCATGGCGGCAAAGGACTTGTCGCGGAGGATACCGGCGTTGCAGATGATGGCTGCCGAGCGCGAGCAATCAAGCGTCAGCGCGCGCGCGGAGAGCGCTAAGCGGAGGAGGATGCAAACTCACTGTGGATGCTGCCGAACGCGTCAAGCGCAGCCTTGACGAGCTTCTCGCCCTCGAGGGTCGACTCGACGACGGCAACGGCCTTTCCGCCGGCTGCGCACAACCCAGGAGCATCAACAGGGTTCTTAGAGGTAGGAGAGAGAGGGCTCGGGCGCACCGTCCTTGATCTCCTTGACGACCTTCTCGGCGTTGTCCTTGCTCATGTCGTTGACGACGACGTTCGCTCCTCCCTTGGCGAACACGTGGGCATACGAGCGACCCAATCCGGCTCCGGCACCGGTGATGAGGACAGTCTTTCCCTCGAAGCGAACATCGTCGCTACTCTCGTTCGTCGGCATCGACTTGGCCTTCTCGAGGAACCCGAGGTAGTCGGCATCCGTGATGTTCTCGGGGTGATCGGCGTCGGTAAAGTCGTTGATCGTGTCCCATTTGGCCTTGACCGCGCTCGGAGTGAACGAACTGTCGGTCTTGAAGACATGTCCCTTGGTCCGCTCCCACCTGAGCTTGCCATACCACCCCGCGCCAGCCTCGAACACTTGTCCGTTCGTCTCGGTCTGGTCGTGGCAGAGGTACGCGACGAGAGGGACGATCATCTCGGGAGAGAGGTTGGCGAGCATCTCGGGCGGCATGATGGTCTCGGTCATTTGCGAGGCGGCGACGGGCGCGATCGCGTTCGCGTGGATGTTGTACTGCGCAGCGGCGGGACGAGGGCATCAGCGCAAAGTCCTCTTCCGCACGGAAAGTGCGCTCGTCGACGCACCTTGGCGCCCTCACGAGCGAGCGTCTTGGCAAATCCGACAAGACCCATCTTGGCAGCCGAGTAGCTGCGACGACAACCGGTTAGCGCGCGCCGCCGAGTGAACCGAATCTGCGACGCACTTGGCCTGTCCAAAGTTGCCGTAGATACCGGCGGCCGAGGCGGTCTACACACGCACAAACGCTCGATTGTCAGCGACCAGCCTTCGCTGAAAGAGCACGTCTCTCGCGCACGTTGATGATCCTGCCAAACTTCTGCTTGCGCATGATGGGCCAGGCAGCCTTGGTGCACGCATAGGCGCCCTTGACGTGCACGTCTTGGATAATGTCCCACTCCTTCTCGGTCATCGACTTGAAGGACTTGTCGCGGAGGATACCGGCGTTGTTGATCAGGATCTGCGGGCGTGCGCCTCAACCAAGTCAGTTCCTCGGCGGGAAAGAGCTGCGAAGAAGCACGTCGTCGAGGAGGACCGCGACGCACGTCAACACTCCCAAACTCGTTCATGGCCTGCTCGATAATTTTCTTTCCCTCGGTGACCGAATCGGTGTTGGCGACGGCGCGCCCGCCGTTCATGGCCTTGATCTCGTCGACGACTTTCTGGGCGTTCTCGCGCGAGAGGTCGTTGACGACGACGTTGGCGCCGCGGGAGGCGAAGAAGAGGGAGTCTGCGACGGTCGTCTTCAAAGTCAGCGAGACTTCGGGGCGAAGAAGGGAGGGAAGGGGGACGAACAAGCGCGCCCGAGTCCTCCGCCCGCACCGGTAATGACGACAGTCTTCTTGTCGAATCGCAGTTGCTGCACACACGTTCGCACAAGCACCGGTTGTCAGTCTCTCAGCGAGGAGGGAAGCGGTTCTTGCTCGTGGACCCTGCTGGCGAGTGCAAGTGGGGAGGAGACGCCGGTGTCCTCTATCAACCCGCGCGAGGCTCGCTCTTCGTCCCCGCCAGCCGCAGACAGTCACACAGTCCCAACGCAAAGCCCCCCGCACCAGCCGATGCCCGCGTCGCTGCTCAGTGACCAGTCCCCCGCCTCTCGTCCCGCCCGGCAACCGTCTCGCTCCGTTCGAGCGCGCGCAAGTCCAGCCCCGTCCCGAGCAGCACGTGAGCGTACTTCAGCCATCGTTGTGAGTCAGTGTCAGAGTGAGAGAGAGGGAGAAAGAGGGAGAGGCAAGAGAGAGGCGCCGAGACGAGCGTGAGCGGGAACCGGCGAACTCGCGATCCGGGTCACGAAACCAGCCTCCGTCCGAACGACTCGACGGCGACGACGACGACGACTTCCAAGCAGTCTTACGAGGGCATCATATAGAGGAAGCAGCGACGAGAGTGCCAGTCTTGGAGCGGAGCGAAACGGCCAAGTTGCACCTCGACTTCCTCCCGCTACTTCTCCTCCTCGCCCTTCTCCTGCTCCTCCAACCGTCCTTGACCCTCCTCCGCAGCCTTGAGCCTCACGAGGACTTCGTCGGGCGACGTGAGCCACGAACTCGTTTCGAACCCATACTCCGATCTCACGACTGCCCACTCACCAAGAAACCATTAGCCCACTCCTTCGAGACAAAGAAGAGAGCGCAAACGCACGGTTGTAGAACGTCGTATACGTCTCACCAACTTCGTCCCACAAAGGCCCAACAAGCACTCTCACAGTCTTATCCTCCTCCAACCATTTTCGCATCCTTTCCATCACCCCCTCCGCGCGTTGGTGAATGGTGGAGGAGAAGGTGGAGTGGAGTTCGAGGACTTGGGAGGGGGTGGAGAAAGGCTGGGAGGGCAAGTCGCGAGAGGAAGTTGAGGTTGAGGAGGGCGAGGGGGATGAGAGGAACGCGGTACACCGATCCAAGAACGCGCGGATCTCGCTCGTGAGCGCGAGCGCCAAGTGGGCGATCAACTCCTCGCATGCCTTCTTGAGCGCCAAGTCCAGGTCCTATTCACCCATCGTCAGCCTCGAAAGGAAAAGGGAGGGGCATGGGACGCACGGATTTGGCGTCCGTCATCGTTTCAGCAAAGTTAGGCATGCCTTTCGAGGCGAGGTCGACCAGTGCGCGGGGGTTGAAGAGGGTCGAGGTATTGCGTAGGAGGGTGTTGAGGGCCTCTGTTTGTCCGATACCGACCGTCAGCTCGCGCGACAGGGTGGAGCGAGAGAGTGAGCGGACGCACCGGTGACGCTCGACCAATCCGCCGCCCTTTCCACATGCCTCAAATCCACGCTCCTCACCATCTCCTTCAACAACAACAGGTGTCGGATAAGGAACAAGTAGCCGTCCGTCCTGCGATCTTCGGTGTCTTCATTCTTTGAATCGGCGGTCGCGGGGCGGGAGGAGATGAGGAGCGAGGCGGAGATGAGGGATTGGAGGCAGAGGGTGACGGCTTCGGCGGCAAAGTCTTGGAAGATGGCGTCCTGCGCGGGGGACCGAGCGAACGTGAGCGTCGGACGATGCCCACCGCCAGCAACTTCCCCGTGAACAATGGAAGAGGGCAGTTGCGAGAAGGGAAGACGCGCGACGCACGTTAACGTAGGCGTTCAACCTCTCCAACACCCAAACCGTCTTCCTCAGCGTCGGATACCACCCTACCATCCTCTCCTCCCTCGGAACCCTAAACCTTCCCTTCGCTCCTCCCTCCTCCTCCGCTTGCTCCTCCCACATCGCCCCAGAAGAAGAGCTGGTGGAGAGTTTGTCGGACCAATCGAGGTCGGAGGGGGAGGGGACGTAGTGCAGGACTTCGGACTGGATCACTGCTTGTGCGCGGAAGACGAGGCGTGTTTGGGCGTCTTGGAGGAGCGACTGCAGGAGGATCGAGAACCGCATCCCTGCCTGTCCTTCCTCTTCTTCGTCTGCGTCGGCGGAGGAAGGGTTGGTGGGGGACGAGTCGAGCGCCATCATTGCGTTGAGGACGGCGCAGAGTTCGCAGAGAGAGGAGAGGCGCGGTTCGTGGAGGATTCGAGGGCGGAGGGAGTCGTAGAGCGTGTCGCAGAGGGATTCGAGGAAGGCGCTGTGCAACCCGTCCGAATTCGATGATCAGTCTTCGCTTCGGTGAAGAAGGCAGAGAGAGATGTGGCGACGGGACGCACGAGACCTCGTTGTCGCCCATCGCGAAAAACTCCCTAAACAGTCCCCACTCCGTCGCGCAAACGCCCCTGAGATACGCACACCCCATCTTGGCCAACCTCACGAGCTCCGTCTTGTCCGGTTCCATCCTCCTGACTTCCTCTCTCAAGCCTGGACCGAGGAGGGCAGAGCGAGAGGCAAAGTAGGTTGAGTAGCATTCGGAGAGAAGCGAGGCGTATTCCGAGGGGTCGGCCGAAGCGCGCTTTTCGAGCTCGACGAGGAGGATGCGCAGGGTCGGAGCAGACGAGGTGAATTTGGCGTAGAGGAGGGCGTTCAGCGCCGTCTCGGACAGTTCCTGTGCGCGTGGAAGGAGGGTAACTTCCAGTCAGCGACATGACCATGCAAGCCAAGTGTGATTGACAGGAGCAACGCGACGACGCACCTTGCCACCCATCTTCTCCTGCGCCTCTGCCGCGATGCGCCGGATCGTCGTGACAAAGTACATCTTGATGAGCGTCATCGAGCGCGTCAGGCACTGCTGGAAGCGGATGAGGTAGATCTCGGCGTCGAGGAAGTCGCGCTGCGCTCAGCGGGTTCAGTAAGCGGAGATTTGAGGAGGAAAGGACAGCGCGGCGCACGTTGGCTTTGAGGTACTCGAGGCAGACGTCGAGCCTGTCGAGCATGTTGAGGAAGTCTTCCTTGAGCACAATCTCCTCCCCAGGCAAGTTGAGTACGCGGGTCGCCTTCTCCAGCTCGCGGAAGTACTCGAGCCTCGCTCCAATTGCCTCCGTGACCTCGATGAGATGCTTCTGCTCCTCGAGCATCGTCTCGCACGCCATCTGCAACGCGCGAGAGTTCTCGTCGACGTAGCGGTAGTTGGCCTCCATCTCGCTCAACAGGCCGCGCGACTCGTCGAGCGCCGCGAGGACGTTGTCGCATGTTTCAAGGTGCGAGACGAGTTCCGAGAGGTGGTCGACGTAGATCGACTCCTGCGACCGCTCGAGGGACGACTCGACGAGGGAGAACCAGTCGTGGAACTGCTGGGCGGTCGAGATGGGTTCGCGGAGGACGAAGAGCGGGTCGGGAGAGTCGGCCGAGGCTTCTCCGAGTCCGGCCAGGGCGGAAGGCCGTGCAGAGCCGGGTCTTGGAGAGCCAGAGGGCGAGCCGGTGAGGATTTGAGCGAGGTCGAGGCGAGAGCGGGACCGGGGAGCGGTACGGAGGAGGGCAGAGGACGAGGGAGTGGACGGGCGGCTGTTCGACGCCGCGACGAGCTGCGCGGGGTCACCACATCGCGCATCAGCTCAATCTCATCGTCTCAGCGCAGCGCACATCGACTCACGTGCTGTGGAACAGGCTTGACCTGGGCGAGTTGCGAGACGCGGTGGACGGACTGGGACTGCGCGGGCGAGAGCGGTGCGAGCTGGTCCCAGTCGTCGATGGAGTATCGCGACGTCGACGCCCTCGCAGACGCCATCCCAGCCTCAGGACGAGCCGTAGCGAGCCAGCGAGCGTGTGGTCCTGGCGAGAGGTGGAGCCGATGAAGTTGGCTCAAGCCGTTCACCGCTCGCTGCTTGCTGGGACTCGCTAGGATGGCAGACTTGCTCATACAGTACCTGTGCTGCTGCTTACCTGCGCCGCGCCATCCGCAAGACGTGCGCTCACCTCGCTCAACCCTCCCCACCTCCTCATCGCACTGATCTCGCCTCGCACGCACGCAGGACCCCGAACGTGCACCGCTGCTGAACCCTGATATCTTACCAGAGTGCGTCGCGTAACGGGCTGGTCTTGCGGGCTTGGGTTGGTCTCGCTCGCTCACCTTATCCTCATCGTGAATGCGCACAGGGCTCCCCCTCGACCAGTTGGACGGACGACGGAGGAGCAGCTCGCAGAGCAGGAACAGCTGCGGAAGATCCTGAGCCTGGCAGAAGAGTGCGTTCGCAACTTTCGTTCCGTCGAGGGGCTCCTCATAGCTTCAGTGGTCGACGGATGAAGCCTCTCAAAGGCGCTTCTTCCGCGACCTAGCTGAAATGGGATCTGTTCTTCAACACGCTGACGAGCCCGCTCGCCGCACAGACGCCTCATCTCGATCGAATCCTCCACCGCCTTCCGCCCTCCTACTCCCCCCTCCTCCTCGCACCCACACACACACGTCCCCTCCTCCTCCTCCCCTGACTCCTCCTCCACTCGCCCACGCTCCCGCTCTCCCTGGCGTCCCCCCGTCTCAACAACAACCGACGACGGTCCCTTCGCTCCCATTCGGGTCGTCCACCTCGACCGCCAGAACTGGACTGAGTTACCCTCTGAGCCTTCCACGCCGGCGCCGAGGAAGAGGAAGGGGCAGGGGAAGAAGCGCGTCGAAGGGAGGCCGCCCAGTAGTCATTCGATGAAGACTTTGCCGCGTGGGCGAGGGGGAGGAGTTCCGCCGAGTCCGTTGCGGCATGGTGCTTCGTCGGAGGACGAGGATGGCGAGCGAGATGAGGATGACGACGAGGAAAGCAAGTACGGCACGGTTGCGTCGTATCGGACTGCGACGGACGGGTCGGGCGGGTCGGCGAGCACGATTCGGCAGGGGCTGCGGGACGTCAGCTGGGGGCGCGAGGACGACGAGCCGGTTGATCCGGAGCGAGAGGCGGCGGTGCGTCGCCGAAGCTTCCGTCTTTTCCCGTTGTCGAGGTCTGCGACTGATGCTTCGTTACTCGAACAGCTCGCACAAGCTATCGACGCCCTCGAGCAATCTATCGACGACTGGACACTTCCTCCATGCGGCCCGTTCGTCGCCGAGCTGGGGGACGAAGAACGCGGCGAGATGCAGCAGCGGTGACAGGCGAAGATCGCAATCTACGCGAGGACGAGTAATGCTAGCTTCGTCTTTCGCCAAACCGAACACGAGAAGATGGAGAGAGAAGACAGCCGTATCATGACAACAAACGAAGAGCGATGCGAGAGGTGCGGGTGCGAGATGCGAGCGAGAAACGAGAAGGGGGGCGCGAATCTACGCCTACGCGAACTTGAACCGCTCGAGCGCGCCGCCCTGGCCCGACTGCGCGGCCTCCTTCGCAGCCTTGTTCGCCTTTGCCTGCTTGTTGAGTTCGCGCTGCCGTTCGAGCTTCGCCTTGAGCGCGACCTGCCGACGCAAGCTGGATCAGCAACGCCGTCTGCGAGAGAGAGGGACGCGGGGAACGCACCGTCTGCGGGTCAATGACGTTCCTCCGCCTCTTCCTGAGCGCCTTCTTCAGTCCCGAACTCTTGCCCCTCATGCGGTTCTTCGCATCAGCCTTCTCGATCCTCTTCTCGGCCTTCTCCCTCCTCCGACTCAACTCCTCATCCTCCTCGTCCTCGTCCTCACCCTCACTCAACTCTTCGTCCTCCTCGAGCGCCGCCTTGCCCTGAACTTTCAACCTCTCGGCGCGACTCATCTTGGCGAAACTTGTCGCCCCCTCACGAGCAAGAACATCCTTCTTCTCCCCCTTGCGTAGGACACCCCGATCCACGCGCCCAACGACATCCGCATCGAGCGTGATGAGGTCCATCGGAACCTTGTCCAACAAGCCCTGGACTTCGCGCTCCCTCCGCCTCCGCTTGCCCTCGAACGGATCGGCTTCGAGCGAATCAAAGTTTGCTTCGCCTGATCCGGGGACGAGGAGGGAGGAGATTCCGCGCGAGTGGCCGACGGTGAGGACGTCGGTGAAGGGTTGGAAGGAGAGGGCGTGCACGGGGGTCGAGGGGAAGAGGTGCGTGAGGTATGGTGGCGGGGGCATGCGAGGGGACGAAGAAGGTCGGGAGAGGTCGTTGTAGACCTGCAAGGGCGCGAACAGCGTCAGCGGTGTCTTTCCGAGCGAGTGCACAGGGTTTGACGCACCGAGACGTGATTACCCCATCCGACCGCCAACATGCCCTTCCCGCTCCACTGGCTCGCCTTGGGCGTCTTCTTGACCGCATACTCATTCAAGCACTTCCACATCCTCGCGTCCCAAACCTTGACCGTCCCATCCGCCGCCGTCGTCGCCATCCGATGTCCCATCATGCTCGGGTCGACCGCGACACTCGTGACAGGCGCCTTGTGCGCGAGCAGTTTGACTTGCGCGTGCGAGACCGAGGGAGACCAGAGCGTCACGGTGCCGTTTTGGTGGCCGAGGTGGATCATCGCTGTGTGCAGGTTCTGCGCCATCGTCTTGCAGGACCCGAGGCGCGTGCGGTGCTCGGCAACGAGCTGGCCAGTCGAGGTGTCCTGGTACTTGAGGTAGCCCGGTTGGCCCTGCGAGTGCGAGCGGGGGTCAGTACGGGCGTTCAGGCGGCAGTGACAGGCGCGCAACTCACGATCGTCGCCAGCAAGAAGTGGTACGGCAAGAACTGCATCACCTCGACCTCGACATGGCTCCTCAATTGATGCACTTCGAGTCCCTGCTTGTCGTAGATGTAGACGAACCGTTTCTGCGCGACGGCGTAGAACGATTCGTCGTGGAGCCAGGTGATGGCGCGGGTTGTTTCGTTCAAGTGCAGCTCGGAGTGGAGGGAGGAGGAGGAGACGTCGAAGGTGCCGACGTGACCGAGGCGGCCGGCAATGGCGAGGTGTCTGCGAAAGCGAGCGGGCGAAAGTCAGCCGATTCCCTCTTTGGAGTGCCGCAATTAGAACGGTCCAACTCACCGGCCGTTGCGGGTGTAGCTCAGGTCGTATGGGCCGAACTGATCAAGCTGCAGACTGAACGCCTGGCTCTCGGCGCTGACCGCACTCGCATCGACAATCTCGTCCTGCGTGACCCTCCACGTCCGCTCCAAGTCCGTCTCCGCCTCGAGTGCACCAGCATTGTTGTGCTGGAGCAGCAAGTCGTCGTGGGACGCGCTCAGTGACGCGCTCGCCTGTGCCGACGACGAGAGATGCGCGAGGTGGTGTCCGAGTTTCTTGTCAAAGGCGGACTTTGCGCGTTTGGGCGGTTTCGAGTGGGCCTTGAGCATGTGTGGCTGGGCGTACTGGTACTTCTTCATCTGCTGGAGCGAGATCGAGGGCGGGACATGCGAGTCCTGAGGGGCGATGGAGAGTGGCTCATGGTGGGCGGGAGACGGGTGCAGGGGGTCGGCGCGGCCCGTGCCCTTGTCCAAGCGAGAAGCCATCGCAGCCAGTGCACTCGCAGCAGCAGAACACGCGCAAGTGAGCGGAGCGAAGTGATGAAGAGCGAGAGCGAGCTCGGATTGAATACAACTCGGTTGTATTCAATTGATTACAACCGAGTTTGTATTCATTTCGAGGTCACGTGCACCCTAAGGCTTCATCTCTTTATGCTCACAGCGCTCGCTCGCACCATGGCAAAGGGCAAACAGCCAGCTGCTGCGACTACTTACACCCACTGGCTCGTCAAGGCGCGTCTCTGCTCTCACCGCTCGCTCTCGTTCTCTCGCTCGTGTCGACCCCACATCGGACACCTGTCGGGCGCGCTGGATGGCATTGCAGAGCGTTGGAGGGCGTGCGACAGGCCTGGAAGGCGCTTTTGGAGGGCATGTGACGCCGCGGACCTGGGAGCAATGCAGACTGACCCGTTCACCTCCCCTTCTCGCTCCTCGCGACTCCCCTCGACCCCCCTCTACATCGCTCGTCATGACTGCAGGCCGAACCCGAGTCGCGCATCGAGAAGGGTGTGGACGTCAAGTTTTCGATTGATGACCTCGAGCGCGTCAAGGTGTCGAGCTGGGAAGGCGTTCGGTTCGTCTCCCTTCTCCTCCTCTCTTCGCCCCTTCGCCCTCGAGCCTGGACAGATGCTAACGATGCTGACGACGCAGCAATCACCAAGCCAACTCCTACCTCCGCGACCAAATGAAGAAGGACCACCTCTGCCTGTTCTACGCCTCGAACTGCAAGGTGCCCGGGGTGACGGGCATCGCAAAGGTCGTCAAAGAGGGGTATCCCGATCACAATGCGTGGGATCCGAAGCATCCGTGAGTTGCGATCAAGGCGGAGGAGAGAGTGTGCTGATTGAGGCTGGATTGGCGCAGGTACTACGACCCGAAGAGCGATCCCGACAAGCCGCGCTGGTACATGGTTGACGTCGAGGTGCCTACGACTTCCTAACCAATCCTCCGAGTGCCCACGATCTCCACTTCCGCCCCCCGAGCTCGCTTCCAACGGAGCAGGCCAGACGCCGTCTACCTTCCCAACTTCTCAACTGACTCTCTTCCTCCTTTTGCTCCTCATCAACGCACACGCAGTTCGTCTCCAAACTCCCTCACCCAGTCCCCCTCTCCCTCCTGCAACAGCTCTCCACCCTCTCCCCCTCGCCCTCCTCCTCAAGCACTCTCCCCGAATCGCTCTCCTACCTCTCCCCGACCTTCCTCTCCTCCCTCTCCGACTCGACGCTCCTGAGAAGGGGAAGACTGAGCGTCCAGCCTTGTGAAGAGGGGTTTTTTGAGGGTGTTAGGGAGATGGGTGAGAGGGGGGGTTGGGAAGATTGGGAGTGGAAGAAGGCTGCTGGGGCGAAGAAGGGGGTCAAGGGGAAGAGGGCAAAGAAGGAGGTGGAGGAGGTGGAGGAGGAGGATGTTGATGGAGAGAAAGGTGGTGAGGAGGGTGAGAAGGAGGCGATGGGGAGGAGGTCGAAGAGAGCGAAGAAGGCTTGACGAGCGTCGGCATAGGAACACAGTTGGGTTGCGCTTGGATTGACTAGCTTTGTTGTCACACTAGGACGCGGCATCGCTTGACCCTTAGGCTTACGGGTGCGGGAGGCGACAGGAGACCACCCACCTACCCAAGCTGCGTGCGCAGCGTCTTGCTCTGAGGGCGTTCAGCTCAGATGCTCGGGGCGTGCCGCGCGCTCCTCACGAATCTGTGCGCCTCGATGCGGAACTCGTGAAATAGCCTGTCCGTCGACACATCGTCAGCGGTTGGCCTGAGCGGACTCAAAACGCTCTGGTGGAGGAGCGTGAAGCAGCAATATCGCGCGGGTGGGAGGTGAAACGGCGGTCGAGGAGCGGAAGGAAGGGACGAGGATGCCTTGGCGGCAAGCGTGCAAGTCGCACGGGATCGATCTGTTGGTGTAGCAGTGCCTGCTCAGAGCAGTGCCTGAGCAGTGTGTTCTGGTGTCTCTGTGATCACTCGTGGCGTCCTCAGCATGCCACACAAGCCATCGAGTCGAAAATACGCGCAGATAGCGCTTCTCAGTGCGTGAACAGCTCCGGAACCCAGCGCTGCGCTTCGTCAGCAGTCATACGCGTCCGGACACTGTATCCAGCAGCACGCCAGGCCCGCCCAGCGCATTCAGCCCGATATCGCGAAACCCATCATGGACGCGAAACTGATGAAGTCGCGGAAATCGCGAGAGAGGAATGCAAGGGCGCCGGAAGACCTGGGAGGTCTAGCAAGTGGTCGTGTAAGCGTCTGCGTACAGCCGCCTGGCTTCTGGCAGCTGTTCCGAGGAGGAGCGCGAGCATGTTGAGGCGAAAGGGGTTTGGCGAGGGTTTGGCGTCCAGCCCCTCTCTCGAACCTGCTAAGACTGCTTGCTGGGGCTTGTTCGACAGCTACGCAGTGACTTCTGTCCCAACAAGCCTACCCCTGCGCTGTTCCACGTCCTCTCGACGCCCCACACCGCCTCGTCCTCGACACTGTCCGGTACACGCGGTTCGACCTAGATTGGGAGGGATGGACATCTCAGTGGACTCGTCAGCGAGTGGAACGCCGAACCCGCGGCCGGATCATCAAGCCAAGAAGCCGAAGAAGCCGCCAGCGTGCGACAGGTGCAAGGTTCGTTCCGCTTACTCCTCTACGGAACCGTAAGAAGGCGTTCGGCTGGTAGGAGAGACTGACGAGGTATGTTACGCAGGCGAAACGCGTTCTGTGCCATCCGAATCCCGCTGGCTGCCCCCGCTGCGTCGAGAAAGGCATCGAGTGCGTTATTGTGATCGCTCGCACATGCCCCAGGCCTTCACTGGTCCTCAGTGTCCCCACAGATGCACCACCACGCCCGTCGTCCGACGCAAACCGCAGCGCAAACCTAAAAACTCGCTCGTCTCGGCGGACTCGAACGAAGAAACGTCGCCGACTGCGGCACCTTCTGCGCCAGCACCAGATGCCGTCTTACCCATCCCGCCAACATCTGCGACTACGAGCGGTTTTCAGCTCGGCGGCGATGCCTCTTTCGCCCCGGTCGCCTCGACTTCGCAAGTCCCCTACACGCGTCCAGCTCTCGCAATCACCGGCGAAGAGACGCTGTCCTTCCAGCCCTCCGTACTCGCAGAGCAGCTCTCACTCTACCTCCAAGGTCTCGTCGATCGCACGGCATGGGTCGACCAAACCCTTGAGCCGGCGCTCGTCGAGCATCTTTACGATTGTAAGCGGTTCCTTTCCACCTCGCTCTTCTCGCGTCGAATGACTGAAAATCGGGCGCGATGCAGGCTTCCGACAAGGCGGCCACTACGACCACCCTCTTCTTCGCGGCTCCTCGCTTGATCTGAATCTCCCACGAGTCGGCTGGCAACTCTGGCTCCTCTCGCCCGAACAGTGCATCCTCGCCTACGCCGTACTCGCCATCGGCGCAACACTCTCCTTTTCACCCGCCATTATCGGTACCTCAGCCAAGGCGGATCCGACGTCGTTTGAAGCGGTTGACGAGTTGGGCGAGGACTTGCGCGAGTTTGGGAAGCGGAGGAAGGCGGCGTGCGAGGCTTTGACGAAGCTGGCGCTGGAGAAGGCCAAGGAGGGCGAAGTCATGTTGCACCCCTCGCTCGACAATGCCGCGACATGCTACGTCCTCGATTCGCTCGTCAATATTGGTGCGTACCGCTCGCCGTCTCGCTCCAATTGCGACTGATTCGTCGTTCCTCAGACGACGGCGAAAAGCGAACCTCTCGACCCTGGCTCTCCGCTTACATGACCCACCTGCGCGCCATCATCGACAAGGGCGAGATCGAGTCTCCTTCGCTCACGAGTCCGCACCTCTGGGCTCTCCACCTTTCGGCCGACCTCTTCACCGAAGTTCACTCTGGCCATCTCACGTCGTGCGTCGAATGTCTCCCTTCGTGCGCTTTGCTCTTCGCTGACGTTGCGGTGTGCTCTCTCGTTCCGCGTCTCACAGGACCTTGCAGGACCAGCTCCTCCTGACAGGCCCGAGTCCTGTCTCTGACAAGGAGGTTGTGGAGATCTATAAAAGGGTTATGGCGGAAAAGGGGCAATGGCCGAACATCACGCCATGTGGGTTCCGAGTCCACCACTCTCCATGAGCTGCTACGCCGATATGCTAATGCTCCGGTCTCCTAGTCGCGATGTACTACATCAACTCCGCTCGCAACATCGTCGAAGGCCTCCTCGGCCCATACGCCCGACGGCAAGCCCTCGACAACGACGCCATCTCCTCGGGCCTCTCCGCCCTCTCGCGCCTCCGATCCCTCGCGCTCCTCCACTTCCAAGCCTGCGAGCCCCTCATCAACTACAGCTCCAAGCCGAGCCTGTTCCCGCATGCCAAGAACCGCAAGAATCGCTGGACGCCTGAACTCGCCGCGCGAGGCTTGCGGAATTGGGCGGCCTTCACCTGGACCGGCCTGGTCCCGCCTATATACCGCGAGCTTGGGAGGCGCATGCAGGAGATGCAGGAGAGCCTGCAGCGCGGCAAGGCGAGCTTGACGGACATCGAGACGAGGCAGGCGTACGAGCGCCTCGAGATGTCGTTCAGGCAGGTTAGGGACCTCGTGCCCGATGCCGTCGAGACAGTTCTGGACGCGGTCGAGCGTGCGCCGCAGTATGTGCTGCTCGTGACGACAAGGCGGTTCCCGCTCACGGGCCTTATTGAGATCCTCGCCGACGGGGTCCAGCAGGGGACGGTGCACGCTTACGAGCGTGCCGTCTCGCTACTGGAGAGGTGCGCCTGCCACAGTCTCTATCTTTGCAGACGCTCCCGCTAAGTTTACCGCCGTCGTCGCAGGTCCGCCTCGGCGCTCAAGAAAGCCGGCTACGCCTTCTCGACCCCTCAACTCGATGCCCTCATCCATCGCCTCGAGTCGCACGCCCTCAACCTCCGCCTTGCCATGCCGCCGCCCCTACCAGTCAGTCAAGGCACCGCTCCCGCCGGCTTTCCCGACCCCTTCGCGTTCGCCTACTTGAGCGAAGTCAGTCCGGCTGCGGGGGCGAGCGGCATGACGACGCCTGTTCTGCCTGCCGCGATGACGACGATCTCGCCAGATGGAGCTGTCGCCGCCAACGCGCTCGACACTGCGGGAACGACATTGCGACTCGAAGATCTCCTTCGCTCGCCGACGTCCGATGCCGGTGCCCTTCCGACACCCGTCGCTCCAACGGGCGCGCAAGAGCTCGCAGGCGTCGCTTTTGGAGCCGGTGGCTTTGCAGAGGGGAGCAGCGGAAGTCCGGACGAGGGTTTTGGGTCGGGAGTCCGGCTGGACTTGGGCGCGACGGATCTTGGAGACGAGATATTCGCTGCTTGGGGAGTGTGGTAGATAGCAGCCGTTCCTCTAGAGTGGTAACAACAGACACTTGCTGCATGAAGAGGAGGGGAACAAACACAGCAGAGCGAAGCGTCTCTCCAAGCAGAACTCCGTTGCGCACAACCTCCACCCTAGGACGGCCTGGTATGCATCTAGTGTTACAGTGCGCTCACGTCGCCAACCCCGCTATTGCTCGTCCTCCGGCCCTCGTCCCGGGACGATCATGGCGATGTTGTTGCCATTCAGCAGCGTCTGCCCGAGCTTGCTTGATTTCCGCCCTTCCGTCGTCGTCTCGCTACAGGCACGAGTAGGTCAATTCGAGTCGCCCAGGGATGCAAGAACCGTAGGTGAGGGAGAGGAAGAGCGGCAGGAGAAAGGACGTACTATTCCGTCACGTCTTCCAGGACCATGTCTGCGCGGGCAAAGCCGTCAGTTCTGCATCCTCTTCCGTTCGTCCTTCAGGACCCGCAACTCACTAACGTAGTCGTCGAAGCCAACGAGCGTGCCGGTGAACTCGCGCTCTGTCATCAGACGAAGGAGGTCAGCCAATGTGCCCGCCGCCGCCAAAGAGCCCGGCACACGCACCCGTCTTCATGATGACCCAGACCTTGCTTCCGATCGCGCGGTCGACGAGCTCGAGGGGGAGGATTGTCGACGCCCTGATGAAGTCGTCCACAGCTCGTCAGCGGGCGTTTCGAAGCGCGGCGAGCGGCTGTACGTACATTCTGAGGTCCGCTCTACGTCACAAGCCAAACGAACGAGCCAAACAGCGGGAGAGACGAGGAGGTGACCGCGAGACCAGTCCGCTCGCAGGTCTCGCTTTGACAGACTCCGCTGCAGCCCAACGCTGGGCGCAGTCGGTGTCGCTCGTGCTCGCTATGATCTCTACTCGCTGCTGCTGCCCGTCAACAAGCTTGCACCGGACAAGCGCGCTCCGCTCCCTCTCGGTTGCCGCCTCCCCACTTCATCGGCTTGCGCAACCCCGACGACGGCCTCTCGAGCGACTAGCAGGATTGCAATGGCGTGTGCAGGACGGTCTGAGAACCCTGGCGACTGTCGGCGGACAGAGTAGGGGGTACAGCGACGACCAGCACTTTCGGACGCAGCATGGCAGCATTCGTGTGAACCTGGTGTGTTTGCGGGCGCATACTCGTTGACCGAAGCTGTACTGACGAGTAGAATCTGCGCAGAAATCGAAGCAGGCCGTCGGAGTCGCCCAGTCGCGAGGAGAACGACCGTTCGTTCCCTCCCTCGCTCGTACCTCTTTACCAGATCCCGCCCTTCTGACTCCTCGCTTCACGCTCAGATACCAAGAAGACGCATATTCAGTACACTCGCTCGCTCTGCCGCAGTCCATGCTGCGATGGAACGTCGTCGACGACCGGTTAGGAACGGGTTGGACGCCGCAGAACCTCGAGGGCTTTGATGGAGAGGTGCGAGAAGGCGAGGAAGAGCGGCGGCGACAAGTAGCTTACTTTGGCGTCTTTGACGGGTGCGTTTGCCGGAAGCGGCCGTTCTTTCCTTCAGAATTCGTTGCGACTGACCTTCTGCGCGGGACAGCCACGGCGGCGACCTGATCTCCCGCTACCTACGCGACACGCTCCCCACCCTCCTCGAATCAACAACCGCATCCGAGATCCCCGCTCTGATCGACCAGTACCGCGAGCTTGGGGGCTACTTGAAGCGGTACCGCGGTGGACCGCTCGATCGGTTCAGGAAGGGCAGTGAGGCGTTCAGCGAGTGGCGTGGGATGGGACTGGACGAGTTGGCTGTGTTGGCGTTCTTGAAGGTGCGCGGGCGAGCCGTCCTTTCGTCAAATCTAGCCTTTCTTGCGAGTGCTGACAATTGCTTGCTTCTGCAGGCCGACAACCACGTCGTGCACTCTCCCGAGCTCGAGAAGGGCGGCTCAACAGCCACAGTCGCCTTCCTCCACTCGCTCGACCTGCCCTACTCCCTCCCCTTCTACGCTTCGTCCCTACTCTCGCTCACCATCGCCCACCTGGGCGACACCTCCGCACTCCTCTGCTCCACGCACTCCGGCCGCGTCAGGCGTCTCACAGAAGCGCATCACGCGGATTCGCGAACCGAGAGCGAGCGGTTGAGGACGAGCGGGACGGGGATCATCACGGATAGTTTTGGTGAGAGCAGGTGGGGTGGAGTTGTGGCTAATACGAGGGCGATTGGGGATAGGGAGTTCAAGCCTGTGGGCGTGATTGGGGAACCGGAGATCGTCAAGCGGGTTATCAGAGGTGCGTCCCAGGCCTCCTGCCTCAAAGCATTGTTCTGACACGCCCGTTGCGGCAGGCGACGAATTCGCGGCCTTGATCCTCTGTTCCGATGGGATCACCGACACCCTCTCGGACCAAGAGATCGTCGACCTCACGCGTGGGATCCGGGACCCTACGAGGGCAGCGAGCAAGATCGTTTCGTTCGCCGAGGACTGTGGCGCGTGCGTCTCCTCTTCCTCCTTCTCCCTCTCCCTGCTGGTAAAGCTGATGAAATGATTGATTGGGCTGGAGCAGGGAAGACAACCTCACGTGCCTCGTCGTCCCCCTCCCCGGCTACCTAAAGATGGGCGGACTCGACTCGACTGCAAGCAGGAGGGAGTACAGGCTCAGAGGGGCGGATGGGGCGAGTAGGAGGCAGAAGAGGATGTGAGCGGCGAGCGACGGCGCGCGCGTGGGTGAAGAGGAGGTGATCGTGTTGTATTCAGCGCGGCTCACAGCGAGTTGAGCGTGTTATATTATGAGCTGTCGGACCTCTCTCTTCACACACGCACGAGATGGAGGAGCAGGAAGCTGTGGCGTAAGCGTGCGAGTTGCCACCTTTCCCGGACAAGCGCTGCTCGTACAAGGTCCCCAACTTCCGTCTCGCCTCCGCCGCACGGAGACCTGATCCAGAAAGGCGCGGCAATGTACCGAATACGACCGACGACCAAGCGAGGCGTGTGAGAGGACTAGACGGTCCACCTGTTCTTGTTGCCCTGCTTCACAGCACGCACGTCAGCTCAACCGCCCCACGGGCTCGAAGAGAGAGAGGCAGGCGAACGCACCTTATTCTGACTATCCGTGTGGCTCACAAACTCGACATCACTCGAGACCTTGTCCTTCTCTCCAAACCCAACCTTGCCTCCGTACTCGAACCCAAGCACATTATACTTGAACTGGCGTCCGACGTTTTCGATCTTTTCGCGCGACGAAGGGGAGGAAGAGCGAGTCCAGATGTTGATTCGGTAGAAGGCCTTGCGGGTACTGACGATGACGCCGGTTATTTCGGTTTGGGAGGAGGGTGGGAGCGAGGGGGCGGGTTGAGAGGCGGTAGTGGAGGGTTGGGCGGGGGAGTCGGAGGAGGGAGCGTCGGAGGAGGAGGGGGCGGAGGGAGGGACGAAGGGCGTTTCGAAGGTCTCGCCGATCGCAGCGAGCATCTGCGGGCACAGGCTCGAGCCTCGAATCAGTCGCTCGCTCTACAAACAGGGCAAACGGGCAAAGATGAAGCGGAGAAGCGGCACGCACCGTATACAGCCAGAAGGCGTCGATCTGGTCCGTGTACTTGCCGCGCGGGAGCTGGACGCTCCACTTGCCTCCGTGCGCATTGGCCTCGTCCTCCCACGCGGGCTTGATGCCCTGCTTGAAGAGGTAGTAGTTGCTGTTGGCACCGAGCATCGAGGGCGGGACGATGTTGTTGTACAGGCTGCACGGGGAACGAGCGAGCGTCAGCGAGTGTGCCTTTCATCGTACCACTGAGCTGGTCTAGAGGAAGGAGAGTGCGGACTGACCCCCAGAACTCCTCTACGCTGTGGAACGAGATGACCTTTGTGAGAGCCTCCTCCCAGCTCTTGGACTTGTCCTGCTTGCTCGCCGAGTCGAACCAGAGTGTCCAGGGTGAGTAGAGCGGGTGCTTGACTGTAAAGTCGGTCGGGGACGAGAGGACGGTGAGGTCTCCGTCGTCCTTTGAGGCGGTCGAGACGGCCGAGTGGGCGGCTGCTGCGGCTTGAGGAGGGAGGTTGGAGGGCGTGGGAGCGGGTGGGGAAGTCGGTGAGTCGGTTGCGGACATGGCTGAGCGTGTGTGCGTGCGAGGGTGCGCTGTGCGAGATGAGAGATGAGGAGGAGGAGCGGGAGGGTTGCTGCTGTGTGACCGCAAGCTGCTAGGCGGGTCGTTCGTCCGTGTGACTGTCGAATACTAGCCAGTAAAGCACTCTCTGACTCGTTCCAGCTGTGAACAGACGGCGACAGAGGAACAACCCTCGCTCGCTCGCTCTCCTCGAAGCTCAGCATCCACCTCACACTCAGACACCGGCTAGAGTGGCCTGGACGAGCCATGCTGCTCGAGAATGCTCTCTCGGAGGAGATCCCATCAACAACCCTCGCTCCCGATGCGCCGCTCCCGACTCGACCGCCACCAGCGCCGACTCAGCCGCCCACAACCAACGAGCGGGACAAGATGCTCGCCGCGTGCATCGGCGCAGTCGTAACGAGTCTCACGAGTCAGTCGCCCCGCTCTCTCTTGTGGGTTGTGGAATGGTGGACGAGGTATCCGATTCTGGGATGTCGGCACGGCGTAATCGCGCTCGCTCTCGCTGTGCGGGACGGCAGTATGGACAGAGAGTCCTTGCGGGATTTTACGGAGCTGCAGCGGTTGTCTCCACGGCACGCAGTGGTTTCTGGGAGGAGCATGACGTCCGATTCGAGGCGTTGATTCGAGCGGATCGCGAATCGTCGGCTTTGTGGACAGTCGATTCGGAGGAGCGGGGTCTCGCTGGATGGAAGGGTAGACGGAGGGTATGTCCAGGGTGGAGCGGAAGGAGGCGAGGGCGAGAACGTGTCGCTGGATTGGATACGCTCGGGGTGGAGGATATGGATTTGCTGGACCGACGGTGATTGTATTCCGTGCGGATATGGCTGGTTCGACATGACCCGCGAGGTTCAGCAAGACGGCGCAGCCCAAAGCGCTGTTCCGATCCGGATCTTTCAACTTATACCTCCCACTCAGCGCCTCGTATTGACCCTCATTCCTCCCTTCATCGCAGTGACTCCCTTCGACGTGATCAAAACCCGCCTCCAGACTCAATCCTCCCCTCCTCCCCCCGTCGCCCGCTTTACACCCTCCACGACCCCCTTTCCCCCTCCTATCGCAAGCACCTCGACCGCCCCTCCTCCGTCCGAAGCACCATGCTGCGACGCACGGAAAACGACTACCCGGCGCGCTCCCGCTCCCACGCAGAGTGAGGGAGTCTGGTGTGCACTCGACTCGCGTGTCGCGGCCGCCCGTGGACGCGAATGGGCGTACGAGCTCGCTTCAGCCTCGAGTTCCGGTGCAGGGACCTTGACGTTCCCGACCAGTTCGGGCGGGAACGTCGCCTGCCTCTACCCTTCCTCCTCCTCCTCCTCCTCCTCGCACGCCTTTCCCACCTCGACCGCCCACGCTCCAGCTCCGCCACGCCATCTCACAGGCTTCGTCGACGCCCTCACGCACATCCTACGCACCGAAGGCCTCACAGCCCTCTGGCGCGGCACCGCACCCGCACTAGCCATGTCCGTCCCGGGACAGGTGGTGTATATGGTGGGATACGACTCGCTTCGACGGACTGCGCTGGACCGAGCTCCGGGCTTTGCGTACGTCGGTGAAAGAAGCGGGCGAGGAACGCGGGAGGGATTAAGGAAGGGCTACGTCGGTGCTGTCCCGCTCGTAGCGGGCGCACTGAGCCGCACACTCGTCGCGACCCTCCTCTCGCCTCTCGAACTCCTCCGCACGCGCCTCCAATCCCACACGCCTTCCTCCCCACTCTCTCTGACCTCTGTCATTCGCGATTTGCGGTGGTCGAACGCTTGGAAGGGCTTGGGACCGACGCTTTGGAGGGACGTGCCGTTCTCGGGGGTTTATTGGGCGGGATATGAGGTGATCAAGAGGGCTTTGACGGGTGGGAGGGGGATGGGGGAGGCACAGGCGGGAGTTGGGGAGAAGGCTGGGGCGGGAAGGGGCAGGGAGTTTGTGGTCAGTTTCGTCAGTGGTGCTGGAAGTGGAGTGGTGCGTTTGCGTTTCCGTCCTGCGATTTCCTCTTCTTCTCGGTGGACCGGCTAATGGAGTCGTCCCCCGCGCACAGATCGCAGCAACACTCACCAACCCCTTTGACGTCCTCAAAACCCGTCGACAATCCTCCCTCCTCTCCACCTCTCCTTCCTCTCCTTCAGCACCCTCTACCCTCCATCTCCTGCGCCAGCTAGTGCACACCGAAGGGCCCCGAGCGATGTTTGCCGGTCTCGCGCCTCGACTGGCGAAAGTTGGACCGGCGTGTGGAGTCATGATTGGGGTTTATGAGGTTGTTGGGGGTTGGAGGGCGGGGGTGCATGCGAGGGAGGCGAAGGAGGAGGCGAGGGTTGAGTGAACCGGCGGAAGAGAAGGGAGGGAGGGAGGAATCGGTAGCTTAGAACGCTACGCTACTAGACAGCAGGCACGCACGAACGAACGCAATCGCATCAACTACAGTACCACTCTCGTTCTCTTGGATTTTGCTCAGAGCTGTGCCAGATTTGAGGAATATTCCTGCATCGTTGCACAGCGAAAAGTACAGCACAACTCTATCTATCGACTTGACTCAACGATGTACACCGTTTCACGCCGTCTAGTCCAGCGTCCTCCGGCTCAGAATCTTCTTGATCTCGCTCCTCTCGCGCAGGTACTCCTCGAACGAGGGGAACGACACGGTCGCCTCGTCTTCGTCGTCCGTGTCGTCGAGGTGCGAGGCTTTGTCGAGGAGAAAGTTGGCAAAAACGATGAGGGTGGCGTAGCTATGCTCGCGGACTGTCAGCGAGCCTGCATGCGAAGGGAGGAGGTTGGAGGACGAACCGGTAGAGGTAGTTCAGCGCCTGGTCGAACAGCTTCGAGCGCTTCTTCGATCCGTCTTCGGCTGCCTCGACGCGCAGCTTGAACGAGTAGATCGCCGTGCGGAGGTTCTGTACGGCCTCCATGTCGCTACGACGTTCGAGATGTCAGTCGAGGGATGTCCGGCGGAGAGATGGGCGCACTCACTCGATAGCTCGGTCCGTCAACCTCTTCGCCAACTTGCCATTCTTGAGCACGCCGACGAGCTGCAACACGATCTTGTACTCGCCGTTGAGGAGCGGCTCCGCCTCGCGGCCGTCCCAGAATGAGCCGTGCTCAGGCGGCTCGATGAAGGAAGCAGACATGTCGAAAGTCGACTGGCGGTTGAAGAGGATGCGGTAGACGAGAGCGCAGGCAACCCTGCGAGGTGGAGTGTGAGCCTGGCAGCAAGTGGGGAGAGATAGGATGCAGCCTTACATGCCGGTCGTCGTTCGTCCGCGGCCTGCGCGGTAAGCAACATCAGCTTCAAATCTTGAGCTCGACGTGCGGGCGCGAACGGACCCATCTGACAGTTCCAGGCGCAGCCGACCTTCTCCTTGTCCCGCCCGGAAAGCGCGCCGGTAACACGCTGCTCGATGCGACTGAAGATGCCGGGAATGGGCGCCTGCTCGTCCGTGACTGCGAGAGAGACGATCAGCGATGCCAGAAGCAAGCGCTCCGGCGAGCTCACCAGGAAGTCGGTCGTAGTCCACCTGGAAGCCCTCGTCCTGCATGATCTTGAAAACCTCCCGAGGCGTCAGAATGCTGTGCGACCGGTATGTCAGCACGAGCCTGCGTTTGCGAGGCTGCGGAGGGCTCACTCCTCGGCCTTGACGTCCTCCCACATCGCCGTGACGGTGAAGCTGCCGTTCTCCTCGATCTCGTCGTGCTGCGAGACAGGCTGTCAGCTGACTGAGACCAAGTGTCAGCTGAATCACCGCACGCACCAGCAGGACCTTCCCGCCCATCTGCTCGCGCTCGCGCAGCAAGTCCTTCTTCAGCTCAGCCTCCATCGCTTCGACCGTCGCTGTGGTAACGCCCGTTGTGACGACGTTCTCGAGCGGCTGGTCGAAGAGGCGGAGGACGTAAGGCTTGCCGGCAACGTACGCAACCGGCTCTTCTCGCAAGCTGGACCACAGGATCTGCGTGCCCTTGCCGTCCATCTTCTCGAGCGCTCGTCGCAGGCCGTCGACCGTAGGCATGCCGCTGCCGTAGACACAAGGACCAGCTTGGGGGCTCGAGCCGGTGAGAGTGGCACCTGCTACGTTCGGGCCGCCGTTCGAAGAGGTTGGGTGCGGCGTCCGGACGGCATCGCTGCCGGCGAGCGTGAGCGGCACGCGACGGAAGTTGGGCGCGCCCTCGACCCGTTCGGGCAAGCTCATCTTCTGCAGGCCGGAGAAGTAGTCGGCCTTGCAGAGGGTGTAAGCGGAAAGAATGCGGCCGTTGCGCTTGGCGACGAAATCGGCGACCTCGTCTGTCGAGGCCGTACCACTCGCGATCGGGCGCTTGAGCGGGACGAGCGCGTCGATGCCGGCGTGGTCGAGCTCCTTCTCGATCGTGCGGAAGACGGGTCGCGAGCGGACAAAGTCCTCGTAGCTGGCGGTCCGGCCGAGGTCGCGCCAAGTCTCGGGGCGGGACTCGTGCAGGAACGTGGTGAAGATGATGAGGAAGAAGTAGGCGCGCAGCTCCCTCAGCCCGCGGGCGATCCAGATGTCGCGCGTTTCGCCCTCGGCGTCTTCCGCCTGCTGCCGGGCGTTCTCAATCGACTCGAGCAGGTCGAAGGGTTCGCCGCAGGCGGTGATGGCGGCGTCGACGGCGTTCTTGATCTGTGTGAGCGAGACAAGTGAGCATATGGTCTCGAAGCGAATCAGACAGCGAGACACACCTCGAAGCCATTCCGCACAACACGAAGCAAGTTGTTGATGACGGTGTAGCTGGGTCGGTCTGAGCGCGGCGCAACAAACTTGCCGTTGTGGCGGAGCCAGTCCTGCAACAGCTTGATGATGACGAGCGTGCGGGTCGTCCTGCCCCGTCCAAGCTGGTCGTTGACGACGATAGCCGACTCGTCCATGTCGAGCTCGGTGACCGTCTCGATGATGTCGCGCAAGTCGGAGAATTCGGGGAACTTCTCGGCCGTGATGGGAACGCGGATGAAGCGGAAGACCTCGCCGCACTCGTCTTTCCCGACAGCGTCCATGACTTCCCGGAGCGTCTTGACCTGGTCCCCGCCCTCGACTGCCTCCCAGACCGGGTTGACCGAGCCATCGTCGGCCTCGTTCGCGACAAGGATGCGGCCTTCGAACGTTGACAGCTCGGAGAGGACGTCTGCTTTGAGACGGTCCTCCAGCAGCTCGAGACGGGTCGGTGAGATGCCGCTGCGTAGCAAACAAGGTCAGCTTGGACTGGTAGAGAGGCTAGTCGCGGGGCACACCTGTACGACTTGACATTCCGCAACGAGACCGCTTCTTGACGCAGGACGTAAGGCGTGCCGCTGAGGGAGCGGCGCCGTCAGTAGTCGAGCAAGGCAAGGACCCGACGCTACGTACTTGATGTTGCACAGCGGCTCCTCCCGCACGCCGATCCAAACGATCCTCGCACCAGGCTTGACATCCCTTTTGACGACATCCAGCACTCTCCTGATCCCCTCCTCAGTCGGCTGCGAAAGCCCATACAAGAAGCTGTCCCTGACGCGACGGAAGTTGATCGCGCCGCGGATGTGCTGGATGGACGTGGAGGAGGTTGAGGCGGAGGTGGAGGAGGGGTCGGTTTGCGAGGTGTTCGAGGCGAGCCAGACGTCTTCTTTCAGAATCATGTTGGCGCGGAGGATGATGCCCGAGCGGTTCTGCGTATCACAAGCAAGTCGTCAGCTCGAGCCGTTCGTTGAAGGAAAGGACCTCGCGCACCCGGATGATCTGGTGCGCCCACTCGTCACCCACAAGGTCCGCTCCAACGCGCCTTCCCCGACTGACCGCCCTCGAAAGCGCCACCTCGCCCGTCTCGCCCTTAGCAATCGCGCTCAGATCCTGAATCGGCGCGAAGATGACAAAGTGCCCCGTGCCCGTCTTTCGCATCCGGTTGATCATCTTGGCGATCTCGTTTCGTCCTTTGAGCCAGGCGGAGAAGGGGACGTCGAAGGTGGAGGAAGAGTCGGAAACGAAGGAGGCGAAGGTTATGAGGAAGAAATAGCGCTCGAGGGCGGCGAGGGCGGATTGGCGGTTGTCTTGCGCGGTCGGCTCGTCGTGCAGGGCGAAGGAGGCGTAGCGCACGCGGTACTCGGTGATCGACTCGCGGAGGTTGACCATGGCATCGCCTGCGGGAGGACAGTCAGCGGAGCGAGGTAAGGCGAGTTAGGAGCTGGGCAACGCACAGTGGTCGACGATGGCGTCAACTACCTTCTTTGCCGTCACGCCATCGTCAAGGGTCGAGAGGAGGGAGAGGATGATGTCGAAATTGCCGAGCAAGGCGGATCTGCGGGAGGAGCGAGTTCAGCGTGAGCATGGAGGGCAAGGTGGCGATGATACGCACCGCAGGTTCTCGAGCAGCGTCGACTGTGTACTGAGCAAGCTCAAGATCGTCGTCTGGCTATTCGACGGCAGACCTGCGCCAAGTCGCATCGCCTCAGCTCGCTCGTCCCAGGGGCATTGAAGATGAGTCAGAAGCGAGAAGCACGCTGCGACGCACACTTGGACAAGACATGCATGAGCCTCAACAAGCTCCTGTCCCTCGCGGCCTGCTCGCTCTGCGCCTGGAGGACCTTCAACGCGCTCCTCGGGTTCTGCCTCTCCCTCGGGCTCGTCGGTCCATCCCCCTCGTCCTGCTGTGGTCGGGTTGAGACGAGCCCGTATGGGTCCTCCTCGCCCTTCTCGATCAGCTGTTTCCGCCTCACGATCAACGCGACGCTCATCGCAAACGTGCTCCTCACGACTCCTGCGCCGCAATTGAAGACAAGCGCCGTAGAAGTCGGTATGCGCTTTAACAGTCCGGTATAGACATCGAGGTATCCGTCGTTGGGTGATTGGTCCCTCGCGACGGGTGTACGGAAGTAAGTGACATTATAACCCTCCGAGCGGACGCGGGAGAAGAGTTCCCGCGCCGTGAGGACTTTGTCGGCCGAGACCCAGGTGGGGAGGATCGAGCCTGAGCGGGTCTCGTCGTGTACGAGGACGAGGCCGTCGTAGCGTGCTGATTCGCGGAGGACGTCGGATTTGAGACTGCACGAGAGGCGTTAGTCGAGCGAGGAAGGAAGGGATAGGGCCTGACGCACCGCGCTTCGATCTCTTCGAGGTTTTCGGCGCGGTCGCTGATCGAGTAGGTGTCTGTCGGGTCTGGGGGTGCGAACGAGGTCAGCCTGAGCAGGAAGTCGTGGAGCGCTAATCCTGCTGACTCACGAGCCGCCTCTCGCAGCACGTACGGTTGTCCACCTGCCCATCTCTCAACTCGTCAGCCCCCTTAGAAGCGCAACGAAAAGGCGCCCAGCGCACCGATATACAAAATCGGCTCTTCCCTCGTCACGAACCAAGCGACCTCCCTCCCCTCGACGCCCTTTGCGTTCTTCCTGCTCCTCAACAAGCTCAGCAACGACCTGACGCCCGTCGCAGTAGGCTGCGCGACGCCCCAAACGCCATAGCCTCCTTCGCGGAGGTTGGTCGCGCCGCTCAAGTGGAATCCGCCTTCCGTTGATGGTCCGGCGGGGGTGGAAGAAGGTGCGAGTTGGCCTGATATGGCGTTTTTCGTCGACGAGGCGGTTGAAGCGGCTGATTGCGCGTGGGGCGGATGCGAAGCAGAAGCGGGTGGTTGAGCGGCTACGAAGCGATAGTCGCTCTTGAGTATCAGTCCGCGGCTTAGGACGCTCCCGCTCCGACTTGGGACGACGGCGGAGGCGAGGCGTGCGAGGTTCAGGGGTGCTTGGTCCGTGGAAGAAGGGGAGGAGGTGGGGAGCGAGAGTGAGGGGAGTGCTGGGACGGCGGACGAGAGGCGGCGGTGTGGACTATCTTCGCATCGACTCAGGGGAGACCCTCGCTCGCTTGTGGATCCGAACGGAGACTGTTTGAGCGAGAGTGCAGTGGGCGAGTGTAAGGGAGTCGGGTTGAGGAGGTCGGAGTGGATGAAGTGCTTGGCCGGTACAGAGGTGCGTCGGCGCTGGTTCTGTGGTGTGTTCGGAAAGTCCTCTTCTAGTCCAGCCATCGTCCAGCACGAGTCGAGCGAGAGTGGTCGTCGTCAACCAACGTTCTTCGCGGTCTTCCTCGTCTCATTCGCTTAAAGTCGGCTGATCCAGCTGGAACGAGTTCGAGTCTGCTGCTACAACCGTTCTGGACAGCTGCCAGTCCACCACTCCCACCGCAACCCGCTCCCTCCGCCAGCCGACTCCGCTTCCGCCTCAACACGCTGATGAACCCGCTCACACGCGTCCACCGCTCCGAAGGACCGCCGTGCGCCTCCAGAACCCTCGACTGCACCTCTCAGACCGCCCTCAAACTGCGCAGAATGAATACCGCCTCGAAGACCGGACTCGCTGACGTCGCTTCGAGTGAGTGAGTGTTCCGCGACGGAAACAGCTCACCGACGCTCGCTGCTCCTTCTCTTGCCTCCTGCTTGCTTGCCTCGCTTGTTGCTGCTGCTCACACCCAGGTTGACTCGTGAACCGTGAACATCGGTGCGCAGCCTCTCCTCCGCAGCTGCCTCCTCGCCTCGTCGCTGACACGCTCGCTCGCTATACTTGGGTTCAGCTGCGGAGGCAGGACAGCTGATTGCTTTCTGTTCACTCGAACGACTCGACTCGACGCTTTGGCTCTTGACTTCGTGCTTGTCGCTCGCAAGAACCAATCAAGGTACGTTTTCCCTTCGCCTTCCCTGCGAGCCGACTCTCTGTCCAACCGGCTAACCCCTCTCCTCCAATGTCTGAACCACCTTCTCAGCACCAGACCGCGCGCGACATGAGCACCCACACGACTCACGGCTTGACGGGAGGCCGAGGGAACCCGACGGGCGGCGAAGGGGGTTTGTTCCATGCAGCCAGTGCGTCCCCTTCCCTTTCTCTGCCTCTCTCTTTTCTTGACGCTGGACTGACAAAAGAGGACGACGGACAGGCGCGCATAACGAGACTGCCGGCCCTTCCTCTTCTTCCTCCTCTTCCGGCGGTGGGTCTGCGTCGACTGGCGCTGCGACTAGCGGTGGAAGTGGAAGTGGGGTGGGACAGAAAGTGTCGGATGCAGCGCAGGGGGTCAAGGACAAGATGCAGGGCAAGTAGCGGATGGGGGACGGAGAAGGCGAGGTCTCTGCTGTCGAGGAGGAGGAGAGTTAGGTGGTTCTGCGAGATCGCGCGAGCTGTTGTAGGATTGCCTCGCAGTGCACTGTAGAATGCTAGGCTTGTCGCACTTTGCCTCGAGAATGAAGGTCACGTGCCTCGAATTCGTTCATCTCCCGCCAAGTTGACTGACTTCGTCCTCACTCCGCCGTCTCGCTTTACTCGCCAGCTATGGCCAACCGCCGCCCGCCAGCCGGGTCCTCATCCGCTCTCGGCCCTCCCCTGCGCCGCCCTGCATCCCGCCAACCGCCTCCAGCCGCACTCTCACTCCCCTCGTCCTCTGCATCCTCATCACTCACTTCGCCCCCTCTCTCGGCTAGCACGCGCGGGGGACAGGGTAGCAGAGGTGGAGAGGCACAGAAGAGGGAGAACGGAGCGGGGGACGGGAATATACAGGTCGTGGTCAGGTGTCGGTACGTTTCGAGGGAGAAGTCTCGCTCAACAACGGGTTCTCGTCGTCCCCTCGTCAGGCTGACCTAGGTGCGGATCGTCACGCAGAGGAGTATCACCGTCGGAAGTGGACGCCCAGGTCCCTGTCGTCGCCGAAGTCAAGTCGACCCGCGGGACGGAAGTCAAACTCACCGACCCGCACCCGTCCCTCCCCTCCTCCTCCTCCGCCGCCCTCTCCTCCATCGCGCCGACTCCCGCTCAAACCAAAACCTGGGACTTTGGTGACCGTCTGCAAGAAGGGTCGAAAGAGCCTCGCGGGACCGTCTATGGTCCCGACGCGGATCAAGGGATGCTTTATACGGACGTGGCCAAACCCATGTTGCAGCAGGTTCTGATGGGGTACAATTGTACGATCTTTGCGTACGGTCAGACCGGGACGGGCAAGACGTGCGTCCGCTCCCTCACTGTCACTGTCACGAACTTCCCCCGTCGGGCTGACCTTCTCATGCTCCTCTGGACCCGCACGCAGCTACACGATGGAAGGCGACCTCTCTCCCTACCACGGCACCTTCCACCCGGACGCAGGCATCATCCCCCGCACGCTCTACTCGCTCTTCGACCGCCTCGCCGAATCACGATCCGAATACTCCGTCCGCTGTTCCTTCATCGAGCTCTACAACGAAGAACTGCGGGACCTCAACGCGGCAGACTACTCGCTCTCGTCCTCGGACGGATCATCAGCGGCTCCCTCGCCCGACCCCTCCGGGCCGCCGAAAACCCTCCGCATTTACGAAGAGACGAAGAATGGTCAGACGGGGGTGACGATCCAAGGACTTGAGGAGACGTTCATCCAGAGTGCCGAGGAGGGGTTGAGGGTCCTAAGGCGCGGGAGCGAGAGGAGGCAGATTGCGGCGACGAATTGTAACGAGCGGTCGAGGTGCGTCCCAACCCCCTCTCTTTTCTTTCGGAGTGGGTTGCTGATGGATGGGACGCGTAGCCGCTCCCACTCGATTTTCACCATCGTCGTGCACATCAAAGATTCCTCGAAAGAAGGCCAAGACGTCCTCAAAGTCGGCAAACTCAACCTCGTCGACCTCGCCGGATCCGAAAACGTCGGTCGCTCGGGAGCGGTCCAAGGGCGCGCGAGGGAGGCGGGAATGATCAATGCGAGCTTGTTGGCGCTTGGGAGGGTCATCAATCAGCTTGTGGATAAGGATCCGGCTAAGAAGCAGCATATTGCGTACCGGTGCGTGGCGGGGCGTCTTTTCCTCCCCAGCGGACGCATGCTGACGCACGTCGTACACGCGCAGCGAATCCAAGCTAACCCGACTCTTGCAAGACTCGCTCGGCGGCCGTACCAAAACGACCATCATCGCGACCATCTCGCCCGTCAGTTACGAAGAGACGGCCTCGACGCTCACGTACGCGCACCAGGCCAAGTCGATCCAGAACAGGCCCGAAGTCAACCAGCGCGTGTCGAAGAATGTCATGCTTAATCAGTTTGCGACCGAGATTGAGCGACTCAAGGCGGATCTCAATGTGCGTGACGCTCGTGTCTTGTACATGAGACCGCGGGCTGACGTTGGGTGCGCCCGCAGGCCGCCCGAGGACAAGAAGGCGTCTACGTCTCGAAGGAGACGTGGGACGAGATGGAGACTGGCCGGCTCAGTTTCGACGAAACGAAGCGCAAGCTCGAGATCTCCGAGTCTCAGCTCCAAACCACCCGCGACCAATTCGAGCAAAACTTCCGCCTCCTCAGTTTGCGCGAGGAACAGCTCCGTAAAGCGACGGACGAGTTGGGCGCCGTCAAGGGCGAGTTGGTGGCTACGTCGGCGGAGTTGAGGGAGACGAAGCTGAGAGTGGCGCAACAGGAGGCGCTGAGGGATGCGTTTGAGACGAGCCGCGAGGGGTGGAAGGAGGCTGCGAGTGGGGCGCTCGACGACGTCGAAGGCTTGCGGGCGAAACTCGGTGCGTACTGCTGCTGTTCTTCCCCGACATGCTCGTGAAACTCACCACACATGCCTCATAGACCGCAAGTCGGACGTCGAGCGCAACAACCACGCCCTCATCGTCGCCGCACGAGAAGCCGTCGCCACTCGCGCCGAGCGCATCGGCGAGTGCACGTCGGAGCTTCGCTCGACGCAGCAGGACTTCCTTGGCAAACTCGGAGAACAGCTCGATGCGTTCACTCGTCGTCAACAAGCTGTACGTTTCCTCCGTTTCCGCCTGCTTCGCCGCTCGAACTGACGACCGCGCTTCAGCACCTCGCCTCAACTCTCGCGCTGGTCGACGACCACGTCGATGCCTTCGCCGCACAACTCGCCTCCCTCGCATCGACTTGGCAACAAGCGGATGCGCAAGCTACCGACTTTCGGCAGGCGATCGACAAAGTGTGCGCAGAGCTGCACGGGCGTATCCTCGAGCGGGCCGACAGGCTTGAAAAGTTGCAGCGACAGCAGGCGGACGAGTTGGAGAAGCGGTTATCCCAGCATGCCGAGCAGGTCTGTCGGGTCTTCTCTGCCCGCTGCATCAAGGTTCTGGTCTGACCGTCTGCTTTGTCCAGACGACGCGCATCCTCGGCGACCTAGCTGGCCCGGTCCGGCAACTGCAGCAGGATTGCTACAAGGCGTTGCGGCAGGATCATCTTACCCTCGAGGAGCTGCGGGATCACGATGCTGCTGCTCTTGCGGACGAGGTGTGTCCCGCCAGCTCGCGGATTCTTTCGAAGGTAAGCGACGCTGAATCGCCCCTCGGAAACAGAACGCACGGCTCCGGCAAGTCGTCGCCGAGCTCCAGCAACTGCTGGCGAGCGAGGAAGAGCAGGCCCAGCGCGAACAGGAGGAGACGCTCCGGCGATTGCACGACCAGCTCAGCGCCGCCGCTTCTCGACGAAGTCGAGCGCTCGCATCGACCTTCCAGCATGTCGAGCAGGAACTCGATGGCGTCCTGTCGACGCAAACCGGGGCTGTCCGACTTCGCGCGGACAAGCTGTGTGCTCTCGCCGCAAGCGGTTCCGCGCTCGATACGGCTCTCTCGACGACCGCCGATCTGTGCGACGCACGAAGTCGAGCTGGAGCAGAGGTGCGTGTCCCCTTTCCCGCCATGCGAAAGCAGTTGGTTGACCCGCCTTTCCCGCAGGCCCTGAGCGAGTCTCTTGACCTCGCCGCCGCCGGCTTCGACTCGTACCGCTCATCTTCCGAGTCCGAGCGGAGAGACCAGCTGGGAGACTTGCAGAACGCCGCGAACCTTGCACGGCGACTGGGCGTCGATTGTACGTCAGCTTCGCTTCTTCCGCCCGCCATGCAGCTGCTGACACACACGCGTTCCGTAGGGCACCGTCAGTCGACGGTTCTCGCTACTTCGACGCGCCGAAACCTCGTCGACCTCGTCCATGCGGCCGGCGATGCTTTCGGCGACTGGAAGAGTACCGCTAAGCTCGCCGAAGGCGACAGCTACCAGACTTCCCTTGCTGCCGCGGCCTCGGTGCGTCGAGTATCGTACATCTCGGGTTAGTGTACACCTCGCTGACATGGTTTGATTCTTCAGGTCGACGCCTACTCTACCTCCGGCTACACTCTGCTCGGTTCCATCGACGAGCAGACCGACGCTCTCTCGCAGCAGGCTGGCGACGACCTGCACGCCCGCGTGCGGCACGACGTCCCGACCGGCGCGACGCCTCGACCTCGCGAGCGACCGCAGGACCGCCTCATGCCCGGCATCGACCTCGACGCGGACCGACCGAGCGTGCTCGAGCGGCTTCTCGCTCAGCGCGCCGCAGACCTGGCACAGGTTGAGGTGGCTGCAGCGGCCGAGACGGTTCTCGCCGCGGGACCGACGGTTCGCGGCAGGATGAGCGAGGCGGTCAGCGTTCGCGAGACGCCGTCTCCCGTCGTCATGCGCGTCCCGCTCCCGCCTCTCGCCCGTCCTTCGCTCGTCACCGGCGTCGCAGGCAAGGGAGAGCTATTTAAGCGGGTCAAGCCGGCTCCGTTGGGCGAGCGGGATGCGAACAACCCGGCGCGGAGGTTGGGCAAGCGGGTTGCGAAGCCGCCGAAGTAGCTGTACCGTCTATAGATTTGCTTTATCTTTGTTGTAAGCATGAATTGCCGAGATCTAGGGCTCGCACGAAGCTGTTTCGAGTAAGTCGTCCTTGGTCGTGAAAGTCAGCAACACCGCTTGACCTTGGACTGGTCCCCACTGCTCAGTCCATGTCGGCTCTGACGACACGATTGCTCTTCCCGCTGCACCTCGCTGTCCTCGCATCCCTCCACGCCGTCCTCGCCAGCGCCCGCGCAGCCCGCCTTGTCCTCCGTCTCGCCTCGCTCGTCCCCTTTCCTCGACTGCGGCAGCATGAAGCGGTGACACCATCGGACGATCTGAAGCGCGGGAGATGGAACAAGCTGCCAAAGCATCTCGCGGTCATCCTGGCGCCGGCTCGAACGGCGAGCGACTCCCTGCAGGCGGTGCAGGACAAGGTCGAGCAGCTGCGGAAGTTGCTGGGATGGAGCCGCGAGTTGGGCATCGCTACGCTGTCCGTGTACGACGAGACTGGTGCGCGGACTACTCCGACATTCTCGTCGGTCGGGCTAACACGTTTCGACCACCGCAGGACTTCTCGTCGAAGAGGCATCCGAGGTTTCGACAGCTCTCGGTCTCGGAGTGGAAGGCGCAGACCGAGCGGGAAAGGAATGCGGACTGGTCGTACTGCGGCGACCGGCTTCGGCGGAAACTGTCGCGCCGAAGGAGACTTTGCTGGACGAGTCGTGGGTTGCGGTGTCGGGCGACGGGGACAGCAGTGCGTACTCCTGTCCTTTTCTCGACGCATCTCAAGCTGACTCTCCGTCTTGCAGCCTCGTCTGCCACGCTCGTCAACGATGACGCCCCGCCAACTGTCGAACCAGACGTCCAGGTCAACTTGCTCTCCCGGCAAGCAGGCCAGCCCTGGCTTGCACGCGTAGCGGAAAACTTGGCTACGGGAGACTCGAGCAGGGAGATGACGTCGGAAATGGTTGCCGAGAATATCGATGGTGCGAGAGGTTCGCTGGTTCGACGCATGTTTCGCGGATTGACCCGCTTCCTACGTTCGCAGCGCTACCTCTGACCGAGCCTGACCTACTCTTCGTCTTCGGCGGATCGTACCTGCGACTGCACGGCTTTCCTCCATGGCAGATCCGCTTGACGGAGATGTAGTGCGTTGCCAGCTTCCTCCGCTCTCCAGCTTTCCTGAACTGACGCTCCGCTTCCTGCAGCCACCACTCATGGCCGAGCTGGACTCGACCACCGCCCCTGACTTACGAGGTCCTGCGGAAAGGACTAGACTTGTACGGCGGCGCAGAGATGCGCTTCGGGCGATAGAGTGTAGATTCCGCTCCTTCTGCACTGTAGACTCTTGCATCGCATTGTGCAGAAGATGCCAGCGTGTTCAGCGAAAGAGAGATCGCGGAAAGTCGCTCGAGGAGCGGCGAGCGTCGTTCGTTCGGCAAACGCTCTTCTCGCCTCACTCATGCCACGCTCGCCGGATCCGCGCTCGCCTCGTCTGTAGGCACATTTTACCTCTGCATTGCGATGTCCGAACGGCGGGGCATGTGAAAAGAGGTCGGGAAGCCAGAGAGGCACGCAAGATGGACAACGTGAACTGAAGACAGGATACTCGTACATGACATGGAGAGGGAGACATGCGCAAGAGCTCAAGGTCTCGCAGACAACGTGGAGGGCGGAAGAAGGAGAAGGGGAGCGTCCGTGGTGCCGGTCAAGAGAGACGGCGGTAGTCGTACAAGTCGAGGCGATCAGGCGGCCGCGGTCGTCGATGATGCGCCGGACGACAGTCGTCGCCGTGCCTTGGCGAGGTCGCGCTTGAGCTGAGCCGAGTCGAGAGGCTGCAAGCGGACTGGTGTCAGTCTTCGTGGGGGCCGCCGCGCCGAAATTATCGCGCACCTTCAGGAGCTCGAAGGCGCAGAGAAGGTCTTCTGAGACCGACATTACGGCTGCAAAGTTGTCTGCACGGGAGAAGCATAAACAGATGCTTCCCGAGGTCTGCGACCCCGCCCGAAGGCTATGGCGCAGAGAGGCCGCCAAAACACTCACCAAACTCGCCGCAGTAGTTCCTATTACACAATGGGGCCATGCAAAATGCGGTGGTAGCCAGGGAAGGGAGAAAAGAAGCCGGGGGCGGAGAAGCAGCCACATGGTGAGCATTTGCCTGAACGAGATGAAAGAGATGCGAACTCACGGCGCCGAGAAGATCGTGACGAGCGTACGCTCGTTCCAGAACTCGTACCCATCTGTAGAATGCTAACGTCAGCGACAACGCCGAACGCAAGCGAACGGAAGCACCAACCCTCGACGACCATATGTGCGCGGCAGATCAGGTCGAAATCGTACCGCGCCAGGAACGCCCCGATGACCGACTTGCCGAAGCAATAGCTCACGCCTCGCTCGTTGTCCTCCCAGTCGAGTGCAGTATCGGACGGGTCGCTCCAAAGGAGGTCGTTGAGCAGGCCGTAGTCGGGGACGTCGGTCGGACGGGAGATGCGACGGATGTCGTCCATCGACGAGAGGGAGGGCGAGAGGCCGCCGTGGACGCAAAAGATCTTCGAGGCGACGACGGCGGCGATGGGGAGGCAGTTGAAGACGTCGATGAACGTCTTCCACACCTTGATGTTGCACCGCCGCTTGCACTCGTCGTAGAAGCCGTACACTGTGCGGAGGGGAGCGTTAGCGTATTGCTCAAAGCTGATGATGAAGGAGAACCCGGAACAAACCCCTCGTCACGTTCGCGCACTCGTGGTTCCCGCGGAGGAGGAAGAAGTTCTCCGGGTACTTGACCTTGTAGCACAGCAAGAGCAGGATCGTCTCCAAGCTCTGCTTGCCTCGGTCGACGTAATCGCCCAGGAAGAGGTAGTTGGCGTTCGGAGGGAAACCGCACATCTCGAAGAGGCGGATGAGGTCGCTATACTGGCCGTGGACATCGCCGACGATCTTGACGGGTGGCGACAGCTCGATGAGCGTCGGCTGCGAGAGAAAGACCTCGCGCGCGGCCTGGCAGATCGCGGTAATCTCGGCGTTCTTGAGGCAGACCGACCTGGTCACCTTGCCAGAGTAGCCGGCGTCGAGCAGCCGCGAAATCATGTCGTCGATGTCGAAGGTCTGTTGTTTCGGTGCAGACGTCGGCGAGGTCGACAGCAGGCCAATTGCGCCGGGTCCGGTGCCAGACGGTGCGAGCGATGTTGGTGTCGCGGCGATCGGGTTCGAGAGGATGGTTTGTGCGGCGGGGACATCGGCAGACGAGGAAGAAGGTGTGAGAGAACTGCTGGGCGCTGGATTGGTCGGTGTTCGCGAGAGTGCCGACGCCGTCGTCGACGACCTCGACCGCGAAGGGGTGAGGTCAACACCGCCCGCATCTCCCGCCGATTGGGCTGCTCCGCCGTGCCCGGCTCCTCCTTGTTGGCTCCCTACCGAGTTCAGGCTGCCGCCCGGCGGACTCGTGCCGCTGGGCGCATCGCCTGGATGCCGTTGCGGGGCGACGGAGGACGGGGTTGTGTCGTCAGATGCCGATGTCGCCCTGTGCTTCGCCTTCTTCTCCTTGGACGAACTGTTCCCCATCAGGCGAGTATCTCTGTGCTGCTCTCGCCGTTTGCAGAGGTCGCGGCGGCGCTGTCGAGATCGAGACGATGAGGTCGTGGGAAGCGGGGGTTTGACGGCGATGCAGCGGTTCGACGGTGAATGTATGGGTTCGCAGTATCGAGCTCGACGTGTGCGAGCTTGCGAATGTGCTTAGCAGGCGCGCGAGCGAGTGTCGCGAGTTGATCGAAGTGCAAGCCAAGTCGGCTCTCGTCTCGGCGAGGGGTCTGAACTGGCAGGCATCGTCGTGGGGAGCGAGATGGCTATATAACGCGTTGCAACGACACGACAGAGACCTGTATGAATGAGGATCTACTCCTGCTTGATCTGAGGCGACGACAGGCTCGGCAAGAGGCTCTCCTTGCGCGCCTGGCGGTTCTTGGCCGACGACTCGACACTGACGAGCTTCTTCTTGACAGGACGACCATGCCGACCCGATCTGCAAGCGAGATGAGGAGTCAGCCAGGTCGAGCGAGCCGTTGAGGAGGAGTACGACATACTCGTATCCCTTTCCAGTGTAGCCAAGAATGTCGTCAAGCGCCTGGCGGGCGAGCCGGGGTTGAGAGACGTAGTCGATGCCGTTGACGAGGATGCTGTTGAACGCGAAGGCGACGAGGGCGAGCGAGATGATAGCGACCTTGCGAGAGCTGGCGACATAGTCTATGGAGCCAGCAAACGTCAGCAGAGTTTTCGGGAGTTGGGGCAAGGGCTAGCGCACCGTTGACAAAAGCAGCGGCAAAGAACGTGACAAAGAGCGCAAATAAGCCGAAGAGCAGGATCCACGGAGCCTGCATGAGGAGATGTCAGCTTCGTTCGCTGAACGAGGAAACGCCCTGCTTACCGCCCGGACAGCCAGCTCCCGCTTGTCGGCCCAGCCGAGCTCCTCTCCCTTCCTCGGCACCCAAGTACCGGTAACGAGGTCATACGCGTCCTGGCGCGGCCCGTCGAGGAAGTTGTTCTTGATATAGCGGATGAGCGAGTTGATGCCGTCCTGCAACGCGCCCTCTTTCGAGCGCTTGCCGGTGCTGTGCGTGCGATGCATGTCAGTATGTGGTCGAGAGAGATAGAACGCTGACGAACCGAGTGTAGTCGGTCTTGAGCGCGCCAGTGCCCGAGTAAGCGCGACTGACGACGTCCGCGTTGTCCGCCCAGACTGCAAGAAACGTATCAGCATTGTCATAGAAGGGAGAGGATGGGCCGGCGCGCACCGTTGCGGAAGAGGTTGAGGAAGGCGGTGTGCTCCTCGACGGACTCCTTTACACTGAGGACGCCAATCTGCCGCAGCTGGTTGTTGAGGACCCACTTGGCGAGAGCCGACTGGACGACGTTTGTGCGGTCGAGGCTGTCGCGGAGAAGCGTGAGCGACGTGCGGCTGAAAGGATGAGAGTGAAAGACGCACCAGTCCATGCAGTTCGTGCGGACGACCGAGGTCTGCTTTCGCTGAGGCTGCTTGGCGGCGGTAGTATCGTGGAAGAAGTAGCTGGGAGAGTGAACCGGTCAGCCTCCTTGTGTCAAAGGGAGAAGGCGAAACTCGCAACCCACCCCTGCTGCTGCAAGTCCTGGTCGAGCGAGTCAATCAAGACCGACACCCTATCGAACCGCAACCCCTTGCACTCCTTGTGGAAGTCGAAGTAGGTGTAGTGGATGCGCGGGTTGCCCATCGCATTGAGCGCGCGCTCGTAGGCATCCTTGACGGGCTTCTCGTAGCCGTGCGAGTTGACGAGGTTGACGAGGTACTGGTCGCCGTAGAGCGAGATCTGCTGGTCAAAGTGGCGAGAGAGCGATTCGGCCTGAAGTCGAGCGAAGTCAGCCCGCTTGGTCGCCCATTTCGGGTGAGACGAGGAGAACGCCAGCGCACCGTAGAGGACAGGTCGAGGATCTTGAGGTCGGGCTTGTAGCGCAAGTTGTTGATCTCGGCCCAGTAGACCGGCACCGAGCCCCTCGTCTGAACATACGAGAACCGGATGTCGCCCCTGACTGCTCCGCCGCTCGACCCGGCCGCTCCACCGCCGTTCTGCGCATCGAGCAAGACGATCTGCTCCGTCTCGTTGAAATTGGAGACGTTGCCGGCTTGGTCGATGCCGCGGGAGAAGTAGCGGGTGCCTGCACGGTAGCGGTTGCGGCGGGAGATGAGGCCGAAGAGGAAGTTGCGACCGTTGATCGAGGCGTGCTTGAACTCGAGGACTGCAGGATCCCGAATGTCAGCGAGATGTTCCGCATGGGCAACGCTGCAACGCACATCCAAAGATGCAGGGAAGGATGAAGCGGCTGTACTGCGGACGCGCAACATACGAGCAGGTCAGCTGCCCGTCTCCCTGAAGCTCTGGCCACCTCTTCTGTCCCACGCACGTCGTCCTGGCCGGCAGAGGTCGTGGCATCGATGAAGCGGCGCTGGAGATGGCGGTTCCAGAAAAAGCGGTCGTCCGCCTGCGCGCAACCCTCCCGTCAGCAAGCACTCAACTCATCAGCCGTCTCAGCGGACGCACCGTCTCCCAAAGCGGCTTCTCGCTCGGCTCCTGCTCCTGCAACCGGCTCGTGACATTGTATCCGCCGTAGGTGAAATAGAACGGCGCGCTGTAGAGGTGACTCTTGATGAGACCGAGCAGGTACGCCTCTTGCGGGTGCTTGACGAGTTCGGCGCTGGACGAGCGCTCGAGCGGGAAGACGGAGAAGTCGTTCGCGGCGTAAATGGGCGAGGTGAAGACCGTCGCGACTTTGGTGCGCTTCGTGATCACGATGAGATAGTCCGCTGCGATAGCTCAATCCTTTTAGCTCAATTCGAGAGGTGGAGACTCCGAGAAGACGCACACTTGAGCAGGCTGATCACGCCGAACAAGCCGTAGACGACGAGCTCCTGCTCAGGTCGCGGTGGAGGGTTCGCACCGGCTGTGAGCGGTAACTCGAGTGCTCGTCAGCAGGACTGTAGAAGTACAGAAGACCTAGACAGGCCCGCAACACGAAGAGAGAACTGCCCGCACGTTTGATGCTGAACGAGTTGGCGCCCCGGCTGATAGTGAGCGTCTCTGCCGTGTCCGACTGTCCGACGAGGGTGTAGGCATCCTGTGTCGTGTACAGGACGTACGAGTCGTGCAGGTGCATTTTGTGCTGGGTGAGAGGACGCAAGGACCGGCGAGGTGGGGCGGAGGAGAGGCGGTGAGGTGTGGGAGCGGAGCTGGTGTGCCGAGGGCAATGTGTAGGGCTTATGTGAGTTGATCAGGTGCTGAAGTAAGCCCAGCAGGCGGATTCGAGCGAGACGAGCGAGGAGGTCGAGGGCAACGAGCGGACGAACACCTTCTGTCAGCACCCACACACATCCGCACAGCTGCGAGACGCTAGAACACGCTTGCTCTCGTCAGTACACCCCAAGAAGCCGCCTTCGTCGACCGCAGCCTGCCCCATCGACCTCTCTCACCGCCTCTCGAACCTCATCGCCAGTCGCCGGTCAACTCGTCGACAACAGCTCGGACAGCTGCGCTAGCGCCGACGGAGGAAGCATAGAGTGACTCGAGGACCGTGCACGAAGCGACGGCCGGCTAGCGCGTGTGGGCGTTCAACTTTCGACCGTCCCGCGACCACCCTCCTCAGTCATCCCCCTCACTTCGCCTCAGACTCGCTCGATACCCTCGCCAGGACCATGGCGACCGTTCTCGAGACCGACCCACGCGTCCTCTTCCGCCACGCCGATCTCAGCATCGAGCCGTTCATCAAGCTCGACCTCGGGATCCGACTCGACCACGACTCTCAGCTCTGTCCCGACTTTGTCCGCACCGGTTCCTGTCCGAAAGGCGCTCTCTGCCCACTGCGCCATGTCCAGCCTTCGCCGCTCAACTTCCAGCCTCCACCGCCTATACCGCAGAACGCGCATGGCAGGACCGTGTGCAAGCATTGGCTCCGGGGACTGTGTAAGAAGGGCACGACGTGCGAATTCATGCACGAGTATCACCTGAGGAAGATGCCCGAGTGTTGGTTCTTTGCCAAGTACGGGTTCTGCTCGAATGGCGACGAGGTGCGTTGAGGAGTACCTGTGTTCGGTGGTCGGTTGCTGACCGGTCTCGAGGCGCGCAGTGCATGTACCTGCACGTGACGGACGAGATGCGCATTCGCGAGTGCCCGCGGTATCGCAAGGGCTTCTGCCCCGACGGTGCGTCCCTTCTCGCTCTCGCCGCTGCCCCGCTCACAGCTGACCTCACTCGCTCGTCACGCAGGCCCCGACTGCAAGCTCAAGCACGTGCGGAGAGTAATGTGCCCGGACTACCTCGTCGGATTTTGCGCAAAGGGCAAGGACTGCCCGTTCGGACAGTGGGTTTCTCCTCTCTCTCCCTCCATCCTCCTGACGTTAGCTGACACAGTTCCCGCTCTCAGCGCCAAATTCGAGCCCGAGCCCGAACCGCCCGCGTCGTCCACCCGCATCCCCGACGTCTCGGGCGCGCGGTTCCTCCCCGAAGCGACGTTCCGACTGTGGCGCAAAGACTGGCTCGAGCACGCTGCGGATCCGACTGGGCGGAGTGGGAGCGGCGCGGCGAATTGGGGGAGCGATCGGGGCGGAGGGGGAGGGGGAGGTGGGTACGGTGGTGGAGGGGGAGGAGGGGGCGGAGGAGGAGGGAGGAGGGATTTGGCGACGGTTCAGTGCTACAAGTGCAAGCAGATGGGGCACTTTGCAAATCAGTGCGTGGCGAGCTCTCCTGCTGCGTGCGGCTTGAGACTGACTTCAACTCTCGCAGCTGCCCGAACGGTGCAGCAGGCGGCGGAGGAGGCGGCGGCGGTGGTGGCGGTGGTATGGTGTGTGCACTTTCTCGCTGTTTACGCTTGAGTGGAACGCTGACGCTCTGCTCCTCGAACAGCGGCGGTACTAGTTCGGGTCTGCCTCCTCCCCTCGCACCCTGCATTGCGGCTGTCATTCTCGTGTTGTAGTCTCGTTCCCTTGCATGCATCCATTGCACCAACAGCCCAGTGCGTAAGAGTGAGCGTGGTGCGAAAGGGTCTGTCGCTGTGTGCGTGGTCGTGGGCAGAATCTCTTCGCCGTGCTCGTCTCGCTCACGCTGCACACATCGCTGAGCCAGACAACGCACACGATGCTCGCGCAGAGTGACCGCCCAGCGCACATCCAGACCCTCATCTCGAGCGTCGACCGCTACAACCCTTCGAGTGTGTCCACCCATCCCCTTTCTCCTCATCAGCGACAAATCGTCAACACCGCATCGCTGACCCTGATGCGACCGCGCAGACGTGCACTTGCTCGAGGACTACCTCCAGTCTCAGCTCTCCAACGACCAGTACGACCTCCTCGCCAACCTCGCCCTCCTCAAGCTCTAGTGAGTGAACCACATTCAGCCCTTCCTGGGGGGCGCCGTGGGTCATGCAGGCGCTAATCGAAGCTCGTCCCTGCGCGCACAGCCAATTTAACCCCGCCGTCTGCTCGCCCTCCGCCTCGCTCTCCGTCCTCTTCCTCGCCCTCGCCCACGCCCCCTTCTCGCCCGACTTCTCGCTCGCCTGGTCCCTCCTCTCCGACTCGTTCGTCGTCGGCGGCTCCCTCCCCTCGGCCGCCCCCTCGGACGACGACGACGAGGACGACGACGAGGACGGCGCGCCGGCAGCAGCAACTACACGGGCGCCCGACGAGCCGCACGGCGAGAAGGAGACGGCCGAGCGCCTCCTCGCTCTCAGCAAACTCATGCAGGCGCGCAAGTTCCGCGACTTTTGGCGCCTGTACCGCGAGGGCGACGCGGCCCAGGGCCACAAGGAGCACGAGGTCCGCGAGGCGATCGAGTCGCTTGCGCGCAGCGCGCCCGCGTTCGATGGACGGGTGAGGGAGAGTATCGCGCGCGAGGTCGAGCGCAGCTTTAGGAGCATTGCCAAGCCTACCCTCGAGGCGTTCTTGGGCACCACCGGTGCGTCTGGGCGTCTGTCTCTCTCTTCCACGCAGTCGAGCTAATCCGCTTCGTCCCTTCACGCACAGACGCATCGCAGCTCGAGCAGCTCGCGAAGCAGCGAGGCTGGACCGTGCGGGATCGCGACATCCAGGTGCCGCAGAACGACAGCAACACGCCGAAGGCCGTCGTCACGCATGAGCGGATTGAGATTGAGCGTGCGTCCACTCGTCCTTCTTTGCTCTTTTGGAGCGGAAGCTGACCTTTCGCGGTGCTGTGGGTGCAGAGCTTGCGCGGTTGTTGGGCAGGAGTCAGGCGTAGAAACCGGAGAGGCTGCTGCAACTTGGTCAGTCTTACAGGCAATGCGCGTTTGGGAGAGTCAGGTGTGAGGATCCGAGATGGTCCACCAGGCGCCGACGTTGTCGGCCAATGAGAGGGAGGAGACTGACAATGGGGGCGGACGAGAGGGAGGAGAACCACCGCAAGCTGTACCGCTACGTCTCGCAGTACACCGCGAGTCACTGGGTGCGCCGCTTCGTCCCTTTTTATATCATTCTGCTAGCTGACTTGCTCGCTCTGCGCGTTCTCGCTTCTCTCGCATTTTCAGGGTACCGAGTATGTCCTGTTCCCTCTCCCGGCCTCTCTCCCTCGACGGTCACTGATCCGCTGCCCGCTCTCCTCACAGGTTCGTCGCCGAGCTGCAGCGCATCCGAGCGGAACGGAGGGCGATTGCCGAGGGCAAGGAAGGCGACGAGAGCGCGCAGGCTGCGCAACTCAGGCGTCAGGGCTTGCAGCTCACGGGCAAGGCATAGCAACTATGAGGATTGCTGTAGGGACAATCACGCATGATGAATATAGACTTCTGTTTGACGATGAGTTGGGCTGCGGAGAGAGCGGCTTCGGTGTGCAAGATGCGCAAGCAAGAGAGGGAAGGAGGGGAGAGGTGGTTGTTCTAGGTGAGTACTCCTCATCCAGTGCACCTGCATGGAGGTACAGCCGCAGCAAAAGGCAGTATCATCAAGCCCCGGTGTGCTGCCTGCAGCTGCACAAGCGAGTGAGGCAAAAGGGAAGTGGAGAACCAGGGAGTCGAACCCTGCACCTCGCGCATTCTTGGTTAGAAGATGGTTAGAAGATGCTAAGCGAGCGCTCTACCGATGAGCTAGATCCCCTCCGATGTGAGCATTGAGCTGCTGTGTATTTATATTGACTAAGCAAAGGTGTGCTAGGTTGCCTGCCCGGATCTGCCTCTGGCCGTCATTGGAGACAGTGCATGCGCAGATTGCTCTTGTGCATGCTCACACAGCGTCTGTTTGGTCTACATTGCCCCCAGCTCGGACGCCCAGACTTCCAAAGTGCCCTCTGGCAGGGGGTGTCCGGGGCTCGCTTTCTGCAGTTTCAGGGTGCACCTCACAATGCCTGACAATCTACACCCTTTCCTGAGACCCTGACCCAGCAGAGAGCGTCCGGCTTCTCTGTCCCTCGTTGTCTCCTCCCCCTGTTTGCGCGACACTCCCAACAGTCTCGCTGCCGGTTACGACAGGTCCAGAGCGGTTTGCAGAGTGTTGAGATCTGTCAGATTCTTGCTCCTCAGCCACCTCCAGCTGCCAGAGCAAGTGAAGGAGGGAGGAGGTTGTACTGTACACCCAAGTCCCAGGCTCTCAGCTCGAAGCACATGTCTCTGGCGCTGACTTGGAACTCGACAATCTCAACTTCCGAGTGTGGGCCTCAAAGATATGTGAGGATGGGCGAGGTCCAGGCATGTGAGTGGCAGGCACGCCCATGCCTCTGGCTGCCCCTCTGGACCTCACTTTCTCCGCCTGGGGAACTTTGCTTGGATGCTTCCACAAGTAGCCTTCATGTGCAGAGTTACTGGAGAAGTGCACAGGTGGACACTGTGTACCATCTTGCCTGTCTTCCAGAGGTGCAGGCAGTCCTTGGCGGAGTTGGCTCTTTGCCTAACCAGGACCACCCACGCGGTGTATATAGCTCGCGAACCAGTGCTGACTGACATACTGGCAACCTGCAGGTGCCGTGCTGAATGGGGGGCAAAAAGGGTCGGGGGATGGATCCCGGTTGCCAAGGTTGCCCACGGCAAAAGGTAGTGACGTCTGTGAGATTCGAACTCACGCCCTTTCGGACTAGCGGGTTATTGCAACCTTAAGCTAGCGCCTTAGACCGCTCGGCCAAAACGCCTTTGTTGCAGAGTGCTTCCTTAGAGTCGCACCTCAGCCTGCATTTCAGTGGGACCTCCAACTGTGCACAGCCAATGCAGCAAAAGCTCCGCAGACCAGGGAGCCGAGCGAGTTCATGCTGAGACTGCCAGGTTCGAACCGAAACACATATAGTACAACACACATGGCACTCGTCCAGCTCCTCCTTCTTCACCTTGGTGCTGTCTCTGGCATCCAGTAGCACAGGACTGGGGCTCTTGAAGAGAGTTGGGCCCTTCTTGGCCTTCTTGGGGGAGGGAGGTGCACTGTCCGGAGCCGGAGAAGGCAACTCGCTCTTCCGCTCTTTGCACAGGAGCGTCAGCACAAGTACAGCAGTGAGCAGCGCATCTGAACTAGTGAATGACTGACCTTCAGCTCTAGTGACGCCTGCTTGAGCCTCATGCGAGCTTCTTCCTCCAGCTTGGCCTTCTTGCCTGCACCCTTAGGGGGCTGAACCAGACTGACTGCATAGTCTGATCTGGCTTCAGGACTCAGCCGGCAGCTGCCATGGTAGACCTGGTCGATAGATGTAGGGCCAGGCCGGTCTTTGGTGCGGCGAAGGCGCGAGTGAGAGTCATGTAGTCTGTGCACAAGTGTACAAAGGCGTTTGGCCGGAGTCTGCACTGAAAGCACTTGTGATGCAGTAAAGGAACCTACTGGCCATCAAGGGGCCTCATGTGCTTTGCATGATTGCCAGTGTGCACCATGTAGGGTGGTAGTCCTTAAGGTAGAGCGGAAATTGGGAAGTCGTGAGAAGGAGGTCAAGAGAGGTAGGGTTGAAAAGCTTGCTTAAATGGTGCAGCTGAGCTTGGACCATCAAGCTTGGGCCCACTGTGCATGTGCCTGAAGCATGTGATTGTGGATGTGTGTGTAAGGAGCCTTGGGAAAAA